AATTCATATTTTGAATTCATCAGTTAGATATATTCTTTTAATTATTATCTAATATTAATTACTTCAATTTTCATTCAAGCTATTAAATTCATTTATTATTGTAATAAAAGGATATAATACAAAATGTATTTTTTTATATAGTTCATCAAACGAGGGATTTATTGATCTACTTTAGTTTTTTTGATTTACAAAAAGGTTATTTATTTATTGTTCATCACTCCTAAGTAATTTTCCATTTTTATATAAATTATTTCGAGCCGATTTAATAGTTATCTAAATACAACAATTTTGATTTTTCTTCGCTGCCTGTAGTTTGCTTAAAGAATCTCATATCACTATCATTTTTGAGTGTTATTCATATAACCCTATGATAGGAATAATAATTTTAAGCTAAATGTCAAAGGATTTCCTAAAAAAAAAATTTATCAATTTAAAATCACCATTAAATAATGAAAAACATAAAATTATAGAGAATATTGTAAAAATCCTACAAAATGAAAATTAATATCGATTTAACAATAAATTTCTTTAAAAAATATCACTAAGCAATAGACTTTATTTTGAATAATGAATTTATTAAATGAAAAAACTTTATAAGCATTTATATCACTAAAAAATTAAGGCTAATTGAATATTGATTTGAGAATTAACACTCGACCTTTGACTCCTACCAAAAAGATTATCAAATTACCAAAACGCCTTTTAAAATCAATTACACAAGTGGAAGGTTTGAAAAAATAGAAATCTTATCATAAGCAGAGAACAATAATTAAGTAGCATTCATTTAAACCAGAAATAGAAGAAGTTAAAATAGAGTCAATTAATGAAATGCCTATGAGTAAAAAAAAAGAAATTAGAGTAACAGACGGAACAGAAGAATTGATACTTCGGCAATAAGAAATTCAAAGACAAACTAAAAAGAAAAATATTAATGAGGAGATCAATGATTTGAAAAAGTTAGAATAGCAGCTACTTTTAACCTATACTGGTAGATATCAAAATTGCGAAGAAGAAGAGGAGCAAATTGAAACAGTTTTAAATGAGAGAAGAGAATAAATATATAGAAAAATTTATGAGAATGTCAAGGCAATACAGGGAATTGATTAAAAAACTGAGTTATAGAAAAAAAGGGATTAAGATTTATTGAAATACATTAAATATTAGTAGGACTCAAATAAAAATAAAAAATATATTTAAGAAAAATTATTAGAGGCATAAAAATAGGTTGAACAATTACAGAAAATATCAAGACCTGGAACTTCTTAAAGAATGAGCTCAACATCAAGTTTAAATCAATATCCTAATAACAATAATAATAATGAACAATTTGATATCAAAATAAACTAATTATTTATAAAGAATCCTTCTAAATAATAGTAATAATAGGGTTCACCACTGAAAGGGCAATTATAATAAAATTCAACAAGAAAACTATCTCAAAAAATTTCCCTTGTTGGTTCGAATCATACTTCCTAATAAAATATTATAGAAAACACTTCAGGTTAATAATTATTGCTATTCAATTAAACTCATAAAAAAATTGATGAAGAACTGTTACATATATTATTGACTAGATGGAAGAATATCAAGTAACTTAAATATCAATAATTAGTTCAAATAAAAAAAGAATCAAATAGAAAAAGGTTTTTATGAAGCTGGATGATGAACAAATACAGGAAAAAAAAAAATAAAGGAGGTAGTATTTATGTCAAAAATTATTATCGTGGCTCTAAAAAATGAATAGATGTAAAATCTCATTATAGGAAATGAGTAACTTTCAATTTCCATCATAACCATTTCAGATAGACGGATCTTTTATATTTCTCAGATATATAAAATATAATAATATGGTAGAAATAAAAAATTTAATAAAATTTAATAGAAACTTATTATTTGAATTTAATCATTTAGGATAGACGTGTTTGCATATTGCTGCTTCAAAAGGAAACTCTACTTTATTGTAATATTTGTTATAGTGTGGAGCTGATTATGAAGCAAAAGATTTCATGAACAGAAATCCGTTATGGTATGCAGTTGAGGCTTAAAGTGAAGAATCATTTAAGATGTTACTAAAAATTGGAGCAACTCCATGGAATATTCAAACCTCGAATGCTTGGTTTGCTGATATATTATAATAGGCAAAAAAGATACATACTTTAATCTCAATATCACCTCATACTGTAAAATCATTAATTTTGGAACATGAATTTGAAAGAATATTGTGAATACAATAAAATTATAAATATATCATTTCATATAATAAGTTTATGGGCGACCTTGATGGTTTATTATCACAATCTTCTGCATTAAGGATTGAAGTGGTTTGGTTTAAGGTGGATATTAAGTTTTGTTTGAAATTTTGAAAATTCTGGAGCAATCAATCATCGAGATAGCAATCTTTTTTCTTCTTCTTTCCTAACTTCTCTTTGAATACATACTTAATTCTGATGACGAGAATAATTAGTTTCTTGATCTAATTAAGTATTAAAACACTAAAGACTAGGATTACTAAATAATTATTATGATTATTATTGATGCTACGAATATTGTTTGTTTGGTAAAAGTCTACGAATTGATATTGATTATTATTTTTTATTTTCATATTTTGTTGTGAGAAATATTTTTTAATACAATTCAAGATCGCGTAAAAACTTTTCACTTTGTGCTATTTCATTTTTTTGATGATTGCTTTTAATTAAATTTTTCATTAATTATATTTTAGAATTGATCCTATGTATTTTAATGGATTTATTAATATATTTCATATAAAGAAGAGGGATCTTCTTTGATTTAATATTTGGTTTGGCCTAATAAGAGTCTATGGCTTACGAGGATCAAATCTATCTCCAATAAAGTTAGAACAAACATGAGCATATTAGATTGGGGCAGGAATCTAGAATATAATAACAGTTACTTTTATTGCCCCACTAAAATTGTAATACATGTAACAAAGTTTATAAGCTAGAGCCTGCAATTTGTTTGTAATGTTCGGTTCATCAATCAAATCATTCACTAAAACATGATAATATGTAGGCTACACAGTCCCTTAGGTGGTTTTTTAAGCAATCAAATAAAAGCCATCTTTCCCATTACAAATTTCACTGTCAATCAAAGTTCCTTATGATGGATTGTCCAAGTTTCTAATTATTATGATAACATTTTACCTTTCTCCAGCATAGAATTTTGCTCCTACTTTCTTGTTAACAGAAAGGACAACCAATTTAATTGGTTTATTATGATTTTTTGCCTTCTTTACTTATTCAATCGCCTGTCTAAATTAGGCAACTTCTGTTTCAATCACAGTTTTTGCTTATGAATTTGAAACACCATCTCTAAAGATTATGATTCTAGAAGGAAGAGGTGTCCTGTTGTCACTTGTGAAGGACTCCAAAGATTTTACCAGAATAGGGCATAAACTAAATGAAAACTCAACCCCACTATCCATTTCAATAGATTACGTCATGTATTTACTAAAGAATTCATCTTCAGTCGAAACAAATGATAACATTGACTTTCTTCCTTTAGCTGTAGAATGATAAACATCCATTCCACAAATCATTGTTGGTTGATCAGTGAATGGCAAATCTGAAATTCCCCAAGGAGTTCCTCCTACCTTAGCGCAAATTTAAACCAACAATTTATTACAAATTGTTTTCACTTTTCCTTTTGGTTAATTTAATGTAGAACTTAATATTACTTAAGATGCTATAGGACAATCATTAATTAAATATCTTTTTAGATCTGTGTATAAAGGAGCATTCTTTTTTGGGCCATTTAAAATTAATAATAAGAGGGTTACTTTTTATGGACCTTGTGATTATTAGACTATAAAATCAATTTGTTTAATCCAATCTTCAATTCTACTTGAATGGATAGTAAATGTTCTTGGAGCTTTGCATTAGAATTTACAATATTCAATACTCTCTCTCAAACATGACATGAAATCTTCAGCTTACCTCGAATCTCTATCACCGTACAAGATGGCCCAATTCTCTAAGCCTACTCCTCTTAACATAGCAGTTTAAGTGTCTCTGTCCAAATTGCCTGTCTCTATATTTATTTAGGTGTTATTTCCCATTATAATATTACCAGGTTTGACTTTAGAACTCTATATTTGTAGACATTTAGATTCAAGTTAAATATTCCACTTCTTAATGAGTTCTTCGCTTTCCTTATTATGAAAACATTGAATGAATTGATCAGCTTATTTGACTCTATCAACACCTCTTGGTTTAGTTACTGTAGATAATTATTTCATAGTTTAAAAGTTGTTTCTCATTTCATTTGATAATCCTGTTAGCACACATAATTCAGGGATTAAATAAATAATTTTCTCTTCCTATTTTTTTCTTGATTTCTCTAAGACTTCAATTAAAGGTTAAGTCGTGTCTTTGATATTGATTTTATACCTACATATCACAAATTAAGATACTTTTCAGAATAATATTACATATAACTCATTTTTGATCCATTCTAATTTTCAAACTCGCTTTTAGGATTCATTTCTCTGTTTATCTTATTCACCCTGTAAAATTTATAATTATACACTGTCATAATAATGGCTCCTTCTATTAAAGAATAATCCCTAGAGTTGCGCAATTCTTCATACATAGTAGTACACCTTAACATTTTAAAGGAGGAATCAATATTTATGTAATACTTACCTAATTCCTCCTATTTTATTAGGCTACATGTCACTCCAGGTAAAACCTAAATTAAATTAGAATAAAATACTTTGAGACCAAATTAATCAAAATTTATTAAATTCTTAGTATTAAAGTACTTTCGACCAATTTGCAGTAACTTTTACTACTTTAACAGCATTTTAAAGAATCTTCCAATTAATCCAGTGTATTCAGGTTCTCCAGGTTTAAGAACGGCTTTTTCTTCTATAGATATAGTATAGCTGGTTCCTTCTTCTTCATATATTCCTAGAATCAATCCCATCGTTTAAGCTCTCACTGGGGAGTATAATATTTAATTATTAGTTATAAAAACCTTGAGGTTTTCTTATAATCCTGTCTTAGCTGCCTTAAAAATATCTCTCCATTTAGAAATCTGTTATTCCGGTGTTATGGTAGGTTAAAATATAATCTAATAATGATCATTCATATATTTATTACTTAATATCTATAGATGTGGCTTTTTGGATTTATTTGTATTTAGTAGAAATTGGTGAAAACTGTTTACCCTCTCTCAATCATAGCAATTATATATAATGCAAAAAGTCCAAATACTAACATGAATATATTTGATAAAAAAACCAAGGATTTTACATTTATGTTCTATAATAATTAGGATTCTTGTTTATGAATACAACAACTAATTTTATAAATTTATTTTGATGATTAATTTAATCAATTTCAGATCGAAATAGTAATTCATAAAAACATCGAAATAGTAATTCATAAAAAAGACCATTATTCATATAGAATTTCTACATTTCTAAAATCAATAATATAGTTTTAGTTTTTACAATATTTATAATAATCAAAAAGTAATTATTTTTGTAAGAGAGTAATCAACAAGAAAGTGATTATTTTTAATATTGCTAAAAAATGATCAACCCAGTAGTTGTAATTCTATTAAACAGTAGTTTTTGTAATTAAAGAGAAAATAATTTCTCCTCTAAACACATGTTCTTAGCCTATCTTAAATAAATGATATCGCAAAAATTAATTACTACTTGTGCTTTTTTCTGACTAATATAATATGTTTTAGATTAATTTTTTGGTTATCTCTCCTAATTCTAATGAAAAGGTGTTAATTAGAATACAAATATTATAAATTTATATATCATTGAAACTAAATTCTATTGTATAATTAATCATAATTGTAATTTATGAATTAATGCAAAAATGCCCCTAAATATTACTTAGAGCAAGCGATTTTCATTACTACATGATATAGATACTTAAATTGGAACAGTGGTTAATAAAGATGGCATTTTTAAAGAATGAGTTAGAAAGATCTGATTTGATAGCAATAATTATATGCATAAAAATTCATTAATTTTTTCTAAGATATACAATTTTTGGTTAGTGATTAGAATTAACTTACTGATTCTCAATTAAATCCTCTAATATATTCTTTCTGAAGTAACTCCTTTTGTTTAAATATGATCCATAAATTTGGTACAACGTATTTTTATGATAGTATTTTTGCAGAGTACAAATCTAAATATTAATTTAATAATAATTTATTTTAAATGCTATATACAACAATATTAAATTCGATAATTTATGATTATTGTAAATCAATTTACATTGTTCTAAAACTAATACGTAAATATCAAATCATAGATTTAAAATAATTTTATTCCCTTTTTCAATTTTTCAATTATATATTTCATATCATTTCTCTTTTTTAATGAACAGCATAACATTATAAATAAAACTAAAGCCAATAAAAAAGCTTTAGTCCAATTATTTTTGAAAAATGATTTTGTTTAAGTTTAAGAATTTCTATTGTTTACTACTGATTGTGATGCCCTTGAGCTTGATTGTGTAGTTAGTTTACTTAATGAATTTATCCTTTTTTCTATTTTCATTCAAATATAATTCATCTTAGATAATCTATGAATTAATAAATTATTATTTGATTTTACCTTTCTTGTTCATTCATTAAAAATATTTTTGTTTCTTTTATTACTTCTTGAATACCAATCAATTTAAGTAAGGCTTCTAAATAGTATTATTTAAAATGATCAATTATTGATCTTAATGAATATCTAATTATATCTCGAATTTAAATGACAACTTGATAATTTCTAATGAAAATTTTTGTTATTTAAAAGAATTAAATAACTACACTCATTACAATATTGAAATGAAAATACAATTATATAAATAAAAATTTTCCTAAACTTATTATTTATTTCTCATCACTCTTTCAATTGCCTAATCATACAATCTATATTCTAATAAGGCTTATATTTTAGTTGAAAATTAATTATATATTTAATTTATTTGAGTATTACTATAATTTGAATGATCAATCGATTAAACATCCTGCCTTAGACTGTTGTAAATTAACTATTACATTTCAATTATAAAAATAATTATAATTATTATAGTGATACTCTTAAAAAATATTGCAAAACTAGCTCAATAAATTGTTTCCACAATCATTTTTGGGCTAAGTAAAATTTATATCAAAATATTGTCAATCCATATGATGAATATATAATTACAACTGAAGTCTATCTGAGATCATGTAAATTATAAACGATCTCATAAAAAGAATATTAGAAACACTACATTAATTCTAACTTTTAGATTATAGAATTAATTTAGAAGAAGATCAAAAATTTAATAATCTTTAAATTTAGATTATCTAGTGTTAATTAAAAAAGGTTTTTTTAAAGGAACTCAGTAAAAGAATTATATCAAGCAAATTTATTATGAATGTCTGTATTTAAAAAATCAAAAATTTAGGAAATTTTAAAAATAAAGTAATAATTTGAATTGTTTTTGTATAATATCAATAATTATTTCCGTAATTTAAAGCAGTTCTAGGATATTTATTTTCTATCTATTAATTTTCTTTTGCAAAACTATAAAACATTCTTAAGTTATCTTTTCTCTCAGAAAATAATTGTAATTTTTTATTTTCATTTGTTCTGGCATAATAGTTGTGTTCATATAATTATTATTATTATTATTAAGCTAAAGCTATTGATTATTATTATGGTAAACTCTAATATTATTATTACAACAAAGGTTATTATTATTATTGTAATGATTATTATTATTATTGCTGTTGTTATGTTATCAAAATTTACTGTTCCTATTAAACAAGTTTATCTTCTAATTAACGTATTCTCTATTCGTACTTCTCTTATATCTAATCTTCAACAACTTAAGACATAATAATATTCATACCTCGTTTATCTGCAATGATATCTGTATCTCTTTATTGTTTTGTCAACTTTTGAATATTCTGATATTCCATCAATTCTTCCTTAAGTTTTAAGATTTGATTCTTTTTAATTTATAATTGTTCCTCTAATTCGTCAATCCTGTCTTCTAAGGCTTTTATTTTTAAAGTTTATTATTTTTTTATTGTTCCAACTTTCGCATTGTCTAATTCTTGAACTAATTATGATATTTTTCTTTAAGAATTATCCGCATAGGTTTGATAAATATTTTATAGTTCAGCAAGTTGATTCTAACTAATATTAAACTTCTAAAATAAATCTTAGTACTAAATTTAGTAATTTTGATCCAGAGATTAATATCTTTAACTCCAGAGCATAATTTATTCTTTGTATTATTGCTATTATTAAGTCAATCCTTCAATTTCATGTTTGAATTATTCAACTTCCTTACTTTTGTGATTTAACTTTTCTGTAGCGTCTTGTTCAGCTTTTCCTTTTGCATCTTAAAATGCTTTTTCAAACTATTTAATAACATCTTTTTAGATATTGATTTCTTATTGTTAAGTTTCAATGATTTTTATTAATTTCTAATTTTCATCTATTAAATGAGTCATTTTATCAGATGATTAATTTTAAAATAAATTATTTTCTCTAGCCTCTTTTAGTTTTTAATCTTTCTATTCTAATTAGAGTTGCATTTATTATATTTCTGAAAATAAATTGTTAATTTTTTCCTATAATGTGAAATTACTATCTTAAAGTGCTTGATTTTATATATTGACTATCTAAAAGCTCTCATTATGTTCTTCTTCAAGGACATTAATTTTATCTTTTAATTATCGATTTTCTAATATCGCCATTTAAAGTTAGGTTGACAATTCTTTAATAACTTCTCTATAAGTTTAAGGATCAGTGTCTGTTATTTTAGAATCTTCACATTCATTATTTTCTTGAATTCTTGATAATTATCTTGGAGTGGCTCCCTACCTTGGAGTTACATGATAAGATGAGAAACTAGTGTTTTAAGCATCTTCATTGATAGTTGAGGTAAAGACATTGGAAGTGTTGATTGGCGTAAAACTAGAGCCTTAAACTCTTGGGGAAATCATTCCGTTATAATTTTATTAATAAATATATATTTAATTTCTGATTTTTTAATATGATATCACAATTTGAACACTTCATTATTCAAACTAAATAGAATAGAGTAATAATAAGATCATTTGTTTAATTAAATAAATTATTTATTTTTTTGGTTTCGCTTTTCAAAGATAATTTCTATTTTTTAATCGGTAGCAATGATATTTGGGTTTTCTTATAATTCATCATTCAGCTATACATTATAAGAAAAGATTTAGAATTCATTCACATGTTATGAATCTGAATTATAACCTGATCCATAAAGAATGAATTATTTTGGCTATTCTTGAAATATAACTTAAGCCTCTCTTTTTGCTATCTGATTAGAGTGAGTCAAAACATATTTAATTTATATTTTGTCTTGATTATTATCTGGAACCTTTTTAATCACTTCCATTCTAATAACTTATTGATAGAATAACAATATACAATCAAATTTCAATGCACCTCTTATATTAGCTAATTCTTTTCTTAGTTTAAAATTTTCTTATTCCAATTATCTACCCTTTTGTTATAATTGCAATAATAGGATTTCCTGATCATCATCCTCTAGACCATTATTCATTTTTATATGTATTTTTTATAATTAATAATAAATGCTTGATTAATTTTTTAAATAATTCAAAGTCCATTCTACATCATTATATAGATTGTAAGTCATAGCATCATATCTATATTTGGACTAAGCAAAATTTCGATCATCATCAGAAACCAAAGTTTCAGCCAAACTTGACAAATGTAATTGCAATTGCTTATAAAAAAGTAATTTAATGTTAATATATTAAAAAATAAATGGACTTATGTTTTTTGTTTGCACTTTTCTTCTTTCTCAATAGAAAATTTGAACACAGGATAGTTATAGATTGTCTTTAAATTCTATAGAAGGCGTGAGGGTATATTTGGAGTATAGGAAGTAAATAAAATTGTACACTATTTTTAGAAATTATGGGTTTTTCATACCCAAATTGAGGTCAATGAATTGAGGATAGGCTTAGAGTTGATTAATATTTAGTAAGTTGATTAAGAAATTGGCGCAAATTAGTTATCTAAGATATATTATCCATAAAAAAATAAAGAGTATTAAAATGATGATTTATCATTTGCTACGCATTAACAGGATTTTCAATTTATATCGTTTTATATTTCAAATCTATAAATTAAAAGTTATTATTAATGATTGCTTAATCTCCAAATTTCAAGTTGAACCCTATGACTCCATTAAGTGTTCATCACAAAATGGCGATTGTTGAGGATGAGCCAGACGACTTGGAATTAGAATAATCCAAAATTTCATTTAATGAAAATTTGATTGTTTGTACATATAAACCTAATCAAAATGTTACTAACATATAAAAAACAATTTTAAAATTGAAAGGGTAACCAAATGTTGGTTGGGTCAACCCAATATTAAAGGATGAAAGAAATAGATCAACCTCAATCTTGAAGTGCTCTCAATCACCTACAAGAATTTTTTCGATTTGTATATGAATTTGATTAAATGTATATTGTTATTAAACTGCAATTTATACAATCTTTGTATATAAAAATGATAAAAATAAGTTAACAACTAAATATTATATTGAATTCCAAATAATTATTAAATAATATATATTAATGTAGAGTTAATTTTTTCAAACCTATTTTAGAGGATTAATTGAACGGTGTGTTAGCGTAACCATTGAGTTGAAAAATGGATTATAAATTCAAGGATAAATTACATATGTAGATGATAACCTAAATTTCAACTTAGTTGATCCAGAGGTATCTGATCCTGTTAAACAACCTTAACTAATAACTCTAAAAAATAGTTTCATCAGAGGATCCACAGTGAAATATGTACATATTCCACAAGAAGAATTGTAAGAAGAAGTCTTGATATCTGCTTGCAAGAATGAAGTCAAAAAATAGAAATAATGAGCATTATTTAACAATATTATTTATTTGAAATGAATCAAAATAAAACTCTTCCCTTTCAACTTTGTTTCACAGGTTGTAAAAGATGCTGTTACCATTGTAATTTAGGTAATGATCATCTAATGAATTAGGGTGTTAATCATGTTTAATTTCAATGAAGCAATGTTTGGTTCCCTGTTGCCAAACGATATGTGATTTAATGAAGACTCTATGTATTAAATTGAACATCAAATGTTCTCTATGTTAGAATTGCTATTAATAATGTTGTGGTGAAATGTGCAATTGTTAGTTTCGCTGCACAAACCCTTTCCTTATCTAAGATCAGATTCCTTAAGAGCTCTTTGAAATTCTTTAGAATTTTGATTATCTTGGAGAATAACAAATGTTTTGTTATGGAAATGTTCATGTACTCAAAGAGAACACCCTACATCCGTATTATCTTTTATTAATAGTAGATCCTCAGAGTTACATAATCCGATCATGTTTGCAGAGAAAATCATTGATCATTCAAATAAATCGATGGCAAAGTAATTGGCTGCTGAATGGATTCCAAGATTGAAACAACGATTTCCTCATATATTATAATTATAATGTAAGGCTATATCAAATTGAATTTAGTACTGTTACAAAGATAAGTAGACGGATTTTTTAGTAAATAATACAGAACCTATTTATTTTATGATTATATATTGGATTCATTCCAACAAGAGTTTTAATATCGTATGAAGATGGAGAATTATTTCTCTTAAAAGGAATTGCTTGCTTATTTTCTAGCAATTTTGTCTGGAATCAATTACTTGTAAACTTAGGGCATTAATCCATCATTCATTGATTTAAATGAAGTGTATCTAACTCAAACTGGAACCATAAAGCTTCTAGATCCCTCATTCTATCCAAGAAGATCCCCCATGCAACAAGTTCTAGAGGATATGTAATAACATTAATTTATATTTTTCAGTGCTTAAAGTAAGAAGATATACTCAAAAATAATAAGAAGATCAAATAACATTAAATATTACCTAGCACCTGAACAATTGCAAGTGTATATTCTAATAATTTCTAATTTTAGGAAATCAATACTGGGAATGACCAGGCTAGATTAAATTCTTGTTTGTTTACTCTTGCTATACAAATGATTTAATATTCAATCATGAAAAGTATGGATGATTGCTATGTCAATAATTCTATCAATTTTGAATTATTAAGTGAAAGGAAAACCCAAGCAAGCTAATTCTTAAGCATAGATTTTATGATGCTTTTGAATTAATGCTTAGAAGTAGATCCAGATTCGAGAATTTCAACATCATTAGCATATTAATAATTCATTAGGTTACCTGATGTTCAAATGCTAATTTTAGAAATGCCAAAGGAGTTTGGGTTGGCTTATAATTCATTAATTTTATAATAGGATTTCCAAATTTAAATTCCTCAGACCATAAAAGTAGAACCTTAATATAATGAGATCAGAGAATATTAATAATAATAATAATAATAATAATAATAAATTAAATCCTAAAAAAATGCATTTGAAGAGTTATTAAAATAAAAAAATTATTAGATTGGATAAAAACAAGAGTCAGTCTTTTCTAAAATTCTCAGAGAAAAAAACTATCAATTTGGCTTTAAACCAAAACCTAATGTTAGAGAATAATTAGAACTTTATTCGCCCCAAGATTCATTTATTGATAAATTAGACATGTATCGCTAACAACCATTAATTTTGTATTAATAATAAAGTCCTATGGAAAAAGAAATATAATTGTTTCCATAATAACAGGAATTGGAGAATCAGGAGTATAAATTTATTAGAGAAACATACCCAAATGGTTGTATTTATGAGGGATATAAACTCAACAATCAAAGGGAGGGTTAAGGTATATATATATGATAAATGAATTAAGGAAAATACATTCATCCCACAGGAGCATTTTATGAGGGTTAATGGCATAATAATAAGATGGAAGGGATGGGAAAATTTTATAACAATGACTTTTTAATTTATGATGGAGAATGGAAGGAAGATGAATACCATGGTCAAGGAAGAGAATATAATGATGATCCTGAAAACTTAGGTATAGTGAACTATAGAAACTTGAGTAATATTGAATAAATATGGATGACCTATTAGGGAACCTTTTAAAATGATAAAAGGGAAGGTTAAGGGAATATGGAATTTGTCAACGGGGCTGTTTTTCATGGAGAATTTCGAAATGGGTTACCTCATGGGAAAGGGAAATATAGTGATAAGGATTAGAGGATTATCGGCTAGTGGAATGAGGGGAGATTCTTAGATGATATGTGATTAGAAAATAATAGTATATATTATATTGTTCAATTTTAATGGCTTAAGTTATATAGAATATGATTTTATTGGAGATATCAAATAATAGGAATGAATTATATAATAATAAATTATAAAATAATATATAACTTATGCAAGGTGCAAGATTTGTAGAAACCAATTTGGTTTAGAAGATGCTCCGTAATCAAAGTTATGATTTTCACAAGAAGAAATTAGATTAAATTTAAACGGAGTAATTAAGTTATTGTTAAGATTTAGCAAAAAGCCAAGATTTGCTTTCAAAGATTTGCCAGTACTAAGTAAAACATAACAATTAAAAGCACAATCCTCTAGATTTCAGAAATCTGAATAAAGAAAGCGGATTGATGAATAAAATTAATATTTAACTTCACATATCATAGAAATTCAAGAAGGCAAAGCATCTCAATTCAGATCAATATGGACAGTATAAAATTTAAGAGAGAAAGCATATGTAAGTTGAATTGTTTAGCTTTAAGGCAGACACTTCATTGTGGAGTGAGAATGCATTGGGAAAGAGGTTGCATTCCCCTTTGAGAAGAAAATAATAATAAAAAATAGATGAAGAAAACTATGAACTACAAAAAAGATTAGAACTTACAAAATAAATACTTATTGAAAAATAATAAGAGTAAATACATAGATATGAAAAATTACGTGATCATATGACCAGAGTAAGTATAAATTAATTAATCAGATAAAACCTAAAGGTCAAAGTTCTCCAATGATGAAAACTCATTTTCCATGTGTCAAAAGTAAAAGTACTACTTAATTGATAAATAAGCAGTATCAATCTGATTCATTAATGCATAATAGTAAGATGAATGATTTGTTAAAATCAGAAATTAATCTTAGCAAGATATCAAAATTAGAATGAATTGATAATCATTTATTATTAATATAATTTATTAATTTAGCAATTCTAAGATGAGCGGATTTATACATTACAAAATAGAAACAACAAACTAAGGAATGGATAATTACTCAAATTAGAGAAATGTTACTTATTAATAATCGACGATATTGTAAATTGATGATCAAATTATTAAGGACTGAAGATTATAAATTAAAATCGAATCCCATCACTCAGGAGTATATATAATTGTCAGATTAAACATCATTTTAAAAGATTATTGAAACCAAAGACAGGGGTATTGAAGTGATTATACATAGAAATTGCAAATCTAAGAGAAAGTGTGAATTCATAGAACAACTAAATATCTGATTTAATGAAAGAATTAGATTAATGGAAAAATAAGTATAAATAATTGCAAGCTGAAAAAGGAACTAGTAGAATTACAACAGTTTATTAGGGCAACGATATAGAAATTAATTAATACAAAGATGAGATCAATAAGCTTAGATAAGAAAATAGTGAATATAAGTTTAGGCTTGAACAAAATGTAAATGTTGCATCAAATGATTACGAAGTCAATTCATTAAAAATGCAGATTAAATAAATGGAAGAATAATTAAAGAAAACAACCTATGTTACATCGATCCCAAATTCAGAAATCACTTAATTGAAAGATCAAATCAAATAATTAATTGCAGAAAAGGAATTAAATTAACAATAACAACAATAATTACAATAATAACAACAACAATAATCATAAATTTCAATACAATAGTCAAAAATGCAAATACAATAAGGCAGCTCAAAAATAACTTTTGGTTCAGATTTAGATTAATTTAGAAATGAAAGAGATGACTATAAAAGAAAAATCAAATTATTAGAGGATAAGATTCAAGAACAATAATAAGAAATAAAAAGATTGAATTTCAATTGTGAATCCTACATGTAAGAAGTGTAATAATTCTCTATCAGATCTACTAATAAAAACTAAAATTTTGAAATCTAAGGATATTTATAAAGAATATCTGCTTTGCAACATGAAGTCTTGGTTTGGTAAGATCGTTATAAGGCTGTATCAACTCAAGAACAAGTATTAACCTTTGAACAAAAGATTAGGGAAAAAGATATTTAAATTACACAATTGTAAGAAAGACTTAAGCAATTTGAAGTCTAAGTGGGCTAATTAAAATTGGAGGTAGACAAATCCAAAAAAGAAATCAATGGATATAAAATTAGTTTTGAAGGCAAAAAAACAGAAATATAAGAGGTTGAGATCTTAAAAAACAAAATTATTGAAATGGAATAAGATATTTTGATATTGATTCAAGATTTAAATGAAAGAGATTAAAGAATCAGTTCTACTTAGAATGAATATTAAGAGGAAATTAAAATAATAAGAAATTAGCAGCAAACTGAATATCAATTGTAATTGAATTAATTGAGAGAAGAAAAAGAAAAATATCAATAAGATTATGAAAGATTATCAAATGAATTTATGATTTTTTAGAGGCAAAGTGAATAATAAAAAGGCAGTTCTTTTGAAATTGATTCTTTGAGATAAAGGATTGTGGAATTAGAATACTAATTGAAAAACTCAAACTAATAATATTAAATTCTTTAGACTTAGTTTTAACAATAATAATCATCGTCATAAAGTTAATATGAATTGACAAGTATTAAGGAAGAGTATTTAACTTTATAAAATTAATATAGGATTATTTAATCTGAAATATAATCTTATAAGGATCTCATAAAGAAATATTAAAGTGATCAAGAGGAATTATATTAAGAAAATTTATATTTAAAATCTTAAAAGTCACAAATAGAGAAAAATACTCATCAATTCACTAGTATCTAAAGTGAATATCAAGTGATACAAGAGCGATGCAATAAATATTAGAATGAGATCTAATTGTTGAATGAGTAAATTAGAAAATATAGAAATGATTATGAATCCTTAAATTAAAATTACTTGCTTATATAGAGAGAAAGTGAAATGAAATACTCAACTTAAAATAACAAAGAGAATGAAGTACTAAAATAAAGGATTAATCAATATGAATAACGTATATACTAATATGAATCTTAAATATAATAATTAAGGACATAGCTACAAAATCAAGAATCATAATTTGAGATATCATTTAAGGAGAGATTGAGAGTGGAGATGCAAATTGTTGAATAGAGAGTGAATTCATAAGGACTATTAGAATTATCATAATAATAATAAAAGTATAGATAATTGTAAAGTCAATATGATCAATTACAAATCAAATATTAGGATTCAACCAGCGAATTGAGATAAATTAAGGAATAGTTTACAAAACAAAGTCAATTCGAGAGTTAGAATTTAAGAGATTAATTGTAATAATTGAGATAAATAAACTTATAATTGAATTCAGAAATATCAACTTTGAGCGAACAAAGTTTGAAATACAAGAATGAATATGAATTAATAAATTAAAGATTTGTTTCTGTTTAAAGAGAAAGTGAAGTATACAAGAATAGTTCTCTTCAGATAGATAGACTGAGTAGCAGATTAAGGGAAGTAGATTATGAATTACAAACAAAAAATTAACAGATCAATCAATTGCAATTAGAAATGAGGAATTTAGAAGTTTAGATAAGAGATGAGTTAGAAAAGTAATTCATTTAGAGATTGACCATAGAAAGAAAGAATTTAGAGGATCGTTTATAACAATAAGGCAATTAAGAACTATAATAATTATCTTATTAGCTATAATAAACACAAATGGAGTTAAATCAATATAGATCTAAGTATTAGTAAATAGAATAATTATTTAATTCAACTAAGATCGAAATCACTTAGATAAGATCTCAATAATCAAATATTAGTAATGAATAAGTAAAAGAATTTAAATTAAGAATTACAGAACTGGAACATGAAATAAACACTCTAAACATAGAAATTGAGAGATAAAAAAATATAAGATAAGAATAAGAGAATAAAATTCAAATTCTAATCACAAATATAACTGAATATGAATCACGTTTGCATATTTTAGAATAAGAAAATGCAAGATTGGAAGGTAAGGTCAAAAAATAAATTGTTTATGAAAAACAAAATGATTAATACATTGTGAGTTAATTAGGAGGACAAGAGAGTTCTAAGAAGAATGTCTAAATTGTAACAAGATAATCTGAAATAAATTAAGTATCCTAGATACCTATATCTAACAATTAATAGATTGATAGATTTTAATCTTCAAATGATGTACAGTATTCTTAGATTTCATAAAGAATAGTTAGTCCTCGATCTTAAGTTTAAATCTATTTAAGTCCTGATTATAAGTAAAATCAATAATTATATATTAATTAGTTCTTAAACATAGAAAGTAATGACGACAAAAAACGTGAAATAGACTATAATGTCATCAGCATATTAAGGATGATAATTTTTATTTAATATCATAGTTATTTTTAATAAAATGATTTTCTAAAACTAAAAGGTTCACTGTTCTTGGACTTGAGTAAGAAGTTTTGATTAGACTTGTTGAATGTAAAATAGGAGTAAAATGAATCTTATGTGGATTAAGTTTTATTCTTTTGTCCATATGACCTATTGGAATTGGGTGGTTCACACTGTAGGAATGCACAAAATTGTTTATTTCTTGACAATTTTAGCGATGATTTAACTAATTATTTATTGTGGATTTCTCGATTTGATGATAGATTAGGTTTCTTAATTAAGCTACCCAAACTATTTCTTTCATGTATATAGGGAACAAACACTTCCTCATTTTTAATTAAACAATTAATAGGATGTGTGGGTTCATTTAAGCTGTCTTAGATCAAACGTTATCTAAATAGCCTGTTCTATTGATTAGTAGCTTTTCTGAGTAGATGGGATTTGCGAAAGTAGATTGTTTCATTTCTCAAAACATCATTAATTTGAGAACTCATTAATTTTTAATTAATTTAGTTATCTTGTTTTGACTTTCCACTCCAATTTTAATGTTAAATGCAAGAAAAATGATTGAGTTTACTATAAAAATAATGGATATAGATAATTTAAGTTGGATATCATTTTACTTAATTTTTTTATAGATACTTACTTTCTTAACTGTTACTTCTATAACTGATTTATGTTTCAGTTTTTAAATGTGAATATGACATTGGACTAAGAATAGTAATTTATATATACCAAGGCTGTCGAATAAAGACAGGCTATTTGATGGCTTTGGTTTCAGCATAATTGGTCACTGATATCTTACGAATTGGGATTCTTTCTGGCGAATTTTTATAACTATTGATTTGAGATTCTATTATTAATGATACTTACTATTAGGTACAGATTTTTCCTCATTGAGCTGGCTAGGTTTTCTTTGATGTGTGTAATTAGTTTGATTTAATTTATTTTTATGGTATGTCGTATCATATTCTTCATGGATAGGTTCAGTTACAAGTTTGGTGTGCTTTTATTAGTTTTAATTAACTGCTTTTCGAAGTTCACTTTGATAGATTACTATATCTTTGTTCTTCTATTTGATTTATTGTTCATATTCTTTGATCAATTAAATTTATTATTCTCTTTCGCTTATGAAATCATCAATCTTTTACTACAAGGTTTCCGTGTAGATTCTCAACTGTTATTCAATTCGAATATGTTGACGAACATCAGCTTCAAGTTTCTGAATCAAGGTCTCATATTGAGTCTGAGGTTCGATTTATTATGTTTTTTCTTCTAATTCGACTTTGGTTTTAATGAGATAGACAACTATTTATTTGAAATAATTCATAATGATGATTGTGTCTACTTAATTTAGTGTTGATTTTTCATCATCAATAGGAATGACTTTTGATAAATAATCTTTGGAAGATTTGTCCAATTTCTAAGTGATTTCTACAAACATATCTACAATTGTATTTGAGTGTTATGAGTATTTTTTAACATTCCTAAAAGATTCTGTCATCTATTTGATGTTATAATAGTTCTCTTTGCTATCCATTTAACTGATTAATTAATTATTATATAATTTATGTCTGAAAAGGAAGCCACATTAAAAGATATAAGCAAAAAGGCCATTGCAGATACAGAAAAATTAGCCACCGTCTAGAGATTCGGATTGTTTTCATCCCCTGTTCCTCTGGGTTTGGGTGATAATAGTTACGACAATAAGCCAAGACGTTTTACTATTTGTGTTAATACTAGCTGCTCGTAATGAATAAGGTAAACCAATCACCTCTCCTCCAAATATGAAAGCCACAGCTCCTTAATCAGGCAAAATCAAGTCATCCTACTTCAGCTAACTAGGCTTTACAACCATTGGCGATAAATACATAGACCCTGAAAGAAAAATAAGGATTTAGGAATTGGAGGATAATAAAAAATATGCCTCAGATGATAAAAAGAATTTTGTTCCTCCTTCTGGATACAAAGAGCTCGTTGGAGGTGTGTATCCTCACTAGAATGATTATGAAATCCCAAAAGGTCCCAACAATCATAAAGGAGGTGATGGCAGAGTTAAAATAGGACCAAAGAATGTCACCACAAATCCTGCTTCTAAGAATCTGGGACATTTCCCAAAACATGAAAAGGATGAATACAATCGTTATAGACAATTTGAAAGGGAAAGGATCTTTAAAGAATAAAAAATGCTCAAAGATAAATAACCATTCAAAAGCACCATTTACACAACTGATAATTTCAGCACTGATAAGTAGGTCTTTGGAGAGACCAATTTACCTAAAGTAAACGTGTATATTAATGTAGCCAACCTAAGTCAAAGAATTCAAACCAAATATCATGAAACATGAGGCTCCTTTTAAACCTTCAAATCCAACCAAAAGTGGTGAGACTGGATGTTTAAGCAAATATCCTCAATATAAGGGAGATCCTCTCAAACCTACCTAGAGAATAGACTTTGTCAAAGGAAAAGATCCATTCAAGTAAATGTTATAATTAGAATAGACCCAATCATTTAATGGAGATGGTCAGACCCACTCCTAGCATTTCATGTTTTCCTCACAATCTTAAAAGAGAATTAAACAATAGAATGTTTTGAGTCATCATAAATTAACAATATATTTAATATCAAGAGGATTCTTTCATCTCATTTATCATTTCCACCATCGATGACGAAATTATCGATAAATTTTGACTGAATGGTGTATGAATTTTATAATTTATTTATGAATTATCTATTTCATAGCACTAGTTATAAATGGTTGTTTCTGACTTTTCAAATATTATCTCCTTAAATCAATCAACTTATTTTTCTTCATTATTTATTATTATCTAGAATTAATTGTTATCAATTGTTGGTTTTTTTATTTACTGATTCTTGAATTCTAAATCTATTTCAATCTCTCTTACTCTATTCCTATATGATTGTAATTATCAGTTCTATTGATTTATTTAATCATTTAACTAATCAACAATATTCTTAGCATTTTTTTCAATAGCATAACTCTTTTCAAATTCTAATTCTAGGGAAGTAATCCGCTGATTCAAAGTTTCTTTCAATTGCAAATATTTGGATTTCGAATCCTCCTAACTCAAAATATTCATTACGATCAATAAAATTCTACCCTTTGTTGCATTTTGACAGACAGGTGCATTTATATTCTATCTTTGGACATTTTCGAATAAATTTGGAACTGGTCTATTCTCATTACTATTCACAAAATTCAAGAGCTGATTAGAATTCTTTCGAGCAATATTCTATTTGAGGGTTGGTGATGTGCAGGATCTGTTAATTTAAGTACACTTATCCTTTTTAAAGTACTTACTTAAACCCTTCAGAGATTGCACAATCAAGATTGGAATAACATTAGTATTCTTAATTAATCTACTACTATTAAACTCTACATTGTATTAGTTTAATAATTATAAACCCCCAATTTTAATAATTCTCTGCATACTCTTTAATATGAACTCTCATCTAAGCCAAGGCAATACCATCATATCCCAGAAACTCTAACCAATTTACTTATATTCAACCATAGTCAATATTATTTACTGATGTCACTACCCTATCGAATTAATTCTGCCTTCACTATCTCAAAATAATCTATCTTTTTATATCCATCCTCTAATATCCACAATCCCTCACACTCTTTGAACAATCAAATTTACTCAATACTCTATTTGTACTTTGTCTTAATTGCATCCTTGTCTTAATTACTTCATTGATTACTTCTCATATCTCATATCGCCTCATAACTCCTTCATCCTATACCATTTTTACTTTAATATTATGAGAACCAAATAACCTTAAGGTTAAAGAAAGAACTTATGAGAGTATATAATTATTTATAAATATTAATGGCAGATCAAAGAAATAGAACACCTGAAGATCTTATCTATTACTTCTAATAAAATTACTTACATCAAATGCGTAGGAAAACACACTAAACTATACTCTCATTCGAAATTCATAAGAACAAAATTAATAAATCACATTCTACTCACATTCAATAGCCAATCTCATCAGCATAGAATTTATTTGATGCCTATATCAAAGAAAGACAACAGAAGCGTGAACTAAACTAAACGCTTATCAAACCTTAAAGCAAATCATAGAAATAGCTGAATTAGATTTTTATTAACAACCGATAGGTTATAAAACGAAATCGTATTGCATCAATCTAACCATAACCAGATAAAAGTCTCGAATAGTTAATTTCAAGAAAAAAGAGTATACATTTTACAATTAATGATTCGAATTAAAATTAAAAAAGAACAATAGGTAGAATTTCGATGTAAATAGAGAGAAGTGTGACTGGCTGATAAGACCTGGCAAAGTGCATGTGGATCGCAAATAAATCAAATAAATTAGACATGAAACCATATTTAGAGAAACTCATCATCATTTGAATGGCTGGCAAATAGATAATGACCATGACACGGAGTTCTGATCTTTATTATTATTATTATTATTAATATGAAATTTGGTGAAGTGTTTTAATTATAAACTTATTTTAGAATCTGACATTATTTAATAGCTAATCTATGATATCTCTTAATTATTAATACTCTAATAAGGATATTTTAATTATAAGATGATAGAAATTCCACATTCAGAAAATAAGCAAATACCATTATGGATCTTCAAGAGTCTTCAAGTATTGGAACTATTCAAGATGCTTCGCGAGGAAGTTAACTCTTTTGATGGCCAATTAAGTTTAACGTCAAAACCAAAAGGTAATGACAATAAAATTTTAGATGATTTTATTGAACAATGCTTTGATAATGCCTCAAATGACATTAACTCTCCGTTATCTTCGTTCTTAGAGCAAATAGATTAAGATCACTATACTACAAAGAGAGGCAACGGATGCTCTTTTTAAAATGGTCTTAAAGTTTTTAAGTGTAAGGAATGTTAAGCAGATTTCTCTACCCCATAAAAGTTAGGAACCCACACCTCGAAAATGCACCTTAGTGTTGAAAGAAAAAAGAAATAGATCAAAAAAATTTGAAAGTCATCTAAATTTTCCATTTATATAATAATAAGATTTTTTAATATTAATTTATAATTAGAATTCTTTAATAAATGTATTAATAAAGTAGAAAGGCTAAAACTGTGCTCTGAACTCTATTCATTTTAATATATAGAGTTCCTAAAATGGAATTGTCTGTATCATTTTTATTTAATATACTATTTATATATCATTATTATTTTGATGCCTTTCTCTTCTTTTTTGGGGCTTCTTATGGTTATTCTATTTCTTCTTCTTGGACTTCTTCTACAACCTTTTTGGATTTGGCTTTCTTTGATTTCTTGTCTTTTTTGGTCAATTATTTTTCACTTTCAAAATAGAGTCCCTCTCCTTTTAATTCAGTCAACACTTCATCCATAATGTCTGTATTTTTGTTCAATTCTCCTCCAGCAGTCAAGAACTTTAATCTTTGTTCCATTTGATCCTTCAACTTGACTCCAAACTTTTCAGTTGGTTAGATCAAGAAATGATCCAATCTGGAAGCAATAGCACACTTGTTGGCTAGATTTCTAGTAGAGTTAAATGGGAATTAAATACCTAGAGATTTTTCCTTTATCAGTTCCATTAGCTCTTCCGATGTAAGTACTGTGATATAATAAACCATATTTAGGAGTATTTCCTCTAGTTTTCAAGGCTCTGAACAATGCTTTTTCTGCTCCCAAGATTTGGATGGTAGAGGCAGGATATTTAGCAAGATTGATCAATGATCCAGCATGAGCTATTAATTTAGCAGCTACATTTTCACCAATCAAAGCTGTAAGATTTGGTGCAATAGCTATCATTTTGTTCTTCAAATATTCTTGAATATTGTCTCTAAATTCAAATTGATTGAGAACTCTGATGCATAGATCCTTTAGAGTAGATAAATCAATTTCTGAGATGTCTTAACCCATGGATATCTTAGCTGCTTCTACAATTTGTTTAGCCAAGTCAGCATCAGTTGTGAGTTCTTCAATAGCTTCCAAAGCTTCATCATTGATATTCTTCTTGTCTCCATAGGTATCGACGATTCTGGTGAAGACTCTATTGTCTGTGACAATCTTGGCCAATTCTGGGAAATGCCATGAATACCATTCTTTGATTCTCATACTTAGTGTGTTTAAGTCCTTGTCCATTTATTCAATGATGCTTATAGCCTAAGTAACATGTTTGTCTTCTCTGTTGATATCCAACTTCACTTTGTTTCTGGAGACTTGATGTGCCAAACCTAGTTAGGCTTAAATGTAATCTCTTTCTTTGAAATCTTCATTTCTCAAGAAATCAACGAAGTGGGTTCTAATTCCTCTGAACACTTGGGCAGTGGCTTCGTTCATTTTACTCTTCAAATTCAAATACTATTGGAGTCCAGCAGCCAAACCTTTATCAGAAATTGCAATTTAGAAACTAGTATAAATTAATGGGATTACTTGCTTTTCTTTCCGACTGGAGGGAGATTGGTTGATAAGAAATCGACCAACTCTTATGTAACGGTACCTGTGTGGATTGCTAAGGCATTGTTCAATGCGATTTCAGCAGAAATAAAAGGTTGAAATGCCTGAATAAGGAATGAGGATTACTTTCAAGTGACATACTTCTGCGAATTAAGCAAAGTCAGAGAATTGCTTTTGAATCTATTTCGATTTGACATTTGTTTCGTCGACAGTATCACATTAGAATAAGGCTAAACCTGCTGCTGCCTCAAATAAATAAAATGTGCTCATAATTAAATATTTAATTTAATGTCAATCTATTAGTAACTTTAAATTAAAATAAAAAACCATTCTCAACAACATTGTTTCTTGGATTTGGTCGTATCTGGTTTTGTGTTTTAAGCATTTTTAATTGTTATTGGCTCAGAAGTCAACTTTATACTGGCTCTCTTCTGATATTCCTTTCCTTGATTGTCAATGCCCACATAAATCTCTAAAATCAATTCTCACTCTTACTCTCAAGTAACATCGAAAATGCCTTGCCCACATTTGCTGCTTTTAATGCCGATGTCTCCAAAAATGCCATGTTATGTTACAATGCCTTCTACGTGCCATCCTCATTTCTCACAACCTAAATGAAATTATTACCATACTCTTTTACTCTCTAAATCAGACTTCGTCCCTATCAACATCATCACCAAATTGCTGTCACCGTGTTCTCTCAACTCCTCTATCCATCTCTCCACATTCAAAAAAGACTATTCCTTAGTAATGTCATAACAGATCATAGCTCCTAAGGCACCTCTATAATATCCATAAGTTATTGCTCGGAATCTCTATTAACACTATAAATACTTCTCTTGTCCTGCTGTGTCCCAAACCTAGGCCTTTATCGTTTTTCCCATTATATCAATGTGGCGAAAGAAGAATTCAACTCCCACTGTTGGTTTACTATCATCAAGGAATTTTTGTTATGCGAAACGATTCACCAAATTCGTTTTGCCCACTCCTGAATCACCCACAATAATTATTTTCATCAAAATATCGTAATCTTCTTCATCCTACATTTTCTATATGATTTTTTATTTTTAAATCTTTAAACAACTTTATATCACTATCCTCTACTCATATAAACACGGGATACTTAACAAAAAATTAATAAATATATATATCAGCATTAGCATGGAAATGTTTTGCAGCATACTTGTTTCAGAACAGGTCTGTATATTATCATCATTGTCATATTCATGAGTTAATTAAATACTAATTATAATGTAAACATATTTAAATTAATTATGGGATTTATCTCGAACATTTTGGATGCCATTTGTTTTGATCTCTTTTTCTATTGAAATCATCTTTATCAAATAATTCATTTACTTACAAGTATTATAATAGAATTCATCATAAAATATATAATCTCTAATAAATACATTAATAGATTTCTATATTGGTTATAAATTATTATTTTGAGATTACTACAGTGTGTATATATCATAAATGCCATTCTTCGATTAATTATTTTTTGTAATCTCATCCCATATACTCTATTTAATTGAATCACTACCTAAAATTTGGTGAGATTATATCACTCATTTATGTAAGAGATTGAATATATAACAAACCTAATGAATTACTTGAATTTAATATAAATTAATATTTTATCATATGGATAAGTTAAATACGTTGATTAAAATTTGAGATAAAATTTCGAGGGTTTATTATTATTTAAATTTGTAAATGGCATTGATTAATATCACCAACATTGTTTTCGATTAAGACACAGCACTGTTTAACAGTCCAATTCAGATGTAAATTACTTTCGACGTGATGAGATAATTAGATGAGGAAATTGAATGGAAGTATTAGATTATAGAAACTTAGACTTATTTACATCGGATCCCCAAATAGCGATAAATATGATCAAGTACTTGAATAGTTTTCCATGCCTCCTCTGCAATAAGGAACTATGCAATTTACTCTAATGAGTTCTGGTCCAAATTTTGAGCTGATTCCTAGTAAAGATGATTTATTTGGCGCTAGTGCAATCATCCTAAGTGTTAAGTATAGAAAGCAGGAATTCTTTAGAGTAATTATTTTGGTCTCTAAAGTGACTAGGTTGGATACTATGTTTATAACACTTACTTGGAACCAGAATTAATCGAAAATGATCCTCCTCAAGTGCTCATTGATAGGGTATATAGACAAATCAATACGTCTGCGCCCAGAGTTACGAGAATCAATATTGATTGGGAGGGTTAAATGGTTCAATTGTATGTCAATCCTCAATAAAACAACCAATCCTTCATGTTCCAATAATAACCAATTTTTAATGATATTACTAATACTCCTGATTATTTGCAACAAACCGTCACAGATAAAATACAATAACCACAACAACAATAACAATAATATTCTGGCGGACTAAATAATAACTAATACACTGATCTTTAAAGCATATTTTGATTAATATATTTTTTATTTTATTATTTAGATATACAAGTTCTATTGATGTCTAGATTCAGGATATGAATAGTAATCATCATAATTTAATCATAATCAATTAAACTACATATGAAATTAATGGGTCCTGATTGGAATCCTACAAAATCACTATCTGGTCCTTCTCGAACAATTCACACTCTTAACCTATCCCCACATGCATAGGAGTCCTTTAGTTCCGAATTACTGTAGTCCCATTCTAACCATTCTATACCAAAAACAATTTCAATAAATTGGACTTATTTTCTTAATCTTATTATAAATTTTCCATTGAAATGATTTCAGAGGATATAAATTTTGTGTCAGGAATGAAAGTATTTTTAGTGGAATGCGAATATTGAAGGGAATTTCTGATTTCTAAACTACAGTGCTTATTTTTAGATAAGGTATATATTTTAACTTCCTTCATCATTTATTAGAGTTTTAGAAATTACATTCTCTAAAAATGGAACACATTTTTATGAGATTCAGCATCTTCCATCTGTATTTTAAATTTGTATTCACTCTTCAGATGTCTGGGGTATTAATCAAATATTTCTTTAACAAGTTTAGGGGCTTTAAGTTTTAACACAATTTGTATTTCGTAGATTGATTCTAATGATAATGAGAATTATGTACACTGGAATGATTATTTCCGTGAGAAGTTCGGAATTACTACTGTTTTTAGAATCTCTAATGATTACAATTCCAATTCATGTAGTTGATTATTTATCCGAACCAATTCTTCAATGCTCTACACCAGTTCCTTATAATTGTTGCTCTTACTGTAAAAGTAACCGTTTATTCTTAAAGAAATAAGAAACAAATAAATTACAAAGTAAGATGGGAAGGCAACGATTGTAATAGTGATTCACTTTAGTGTAAATGATCATTGCATTGCATTATCAGTTGCTTCTGTTCATTCGTATATAAATCTTCCTGTATATTATTAAAGTATTCAACTTGTTCCAAAGATTGACCCACTTAACAAATTAATTATGCTAGTTCATTTGATTTCTTATCAAAAACGTCCTTGGCCGTAAAGAAAAGTTATCCTTCATGAAAAACTGATTTTATTATATTCGGAACTATAGTTATCATCTCAATACTCCTAATTGTTATTTATTTAATTAAATTTCACATTATTAGAATCAAGATCGTCATAATTGGTTCATTTACTAATACTATCAAAAGCATTCTTTTCCTATATGCTCAACCTTCAGCACATTAAAAAGACAAAATTAAAGACCATTTGGAGAATCATCAATTAAATTTAGCTTCACATTTTATGAGATTTCATAAATTCAAAATATGCCCAATATATACGTAATAAACTCTTTTGTGATTTCCCTTAAATTTCTCTCTGTCAGCCATACAAATAATCAATAAATGTTAACAACAAAAGTTCATAATATAAAAATAATAAATCAATAATTTGAATTCTTGAAACCACAAAATATAATACCAAATCAAAATTAGAAATTTTCATTAAAATATTTGTCTATGTATCTATTATATATTGAATAAATAATTTATTATTCCATTTTTAGTCTAATGTATTAAATATAATTTTATAATTTGAAATTTAGTTTATTGACAACATAACTTATGATTTATAATATTTCATTTAGGGAATATCAAACCAGGACAATTTTTATATTCTCTTAATTTCATTCTGACATCTTTGTTGCTAAATCTCAAGGCTTTCAAGATAGGAATTAAGTTTAAGAGTATTGAATCCGATTGTTCTCCTTTCCATGTCTAAATTTGTATTCCATTTTCTGGTTGCAAACTAAAACATTCAGGAGTATTATCAATAATAATTGTCCTTGATAAGAGTCTTCCTAATTTCCTGAGATCTTTGCCATAGAAATCTTAATAAATATTGGTATGCTATCTAAAAAGAAGATGAGTAAAGTATTTTTTAATAGTAATTTGACTTAAGATTCTATTAGCATATGATTCTAACCCTGCAGTAAACAAAATCAATTGGTATAGTCTACTCATTTATTTTAAAAAGGTTAATAAGAATGGACGCTAATGAACCTTGTCACCATCATAATAAATTAAGGTTTCATCCATATCTAAGACAAGAGTATAAGTTTCTGAATTGGTTGATAAATGATAGCTAATTAAATTAGGAGTTAGTAAAAGAGATAGTATTTTGTTGATAATTATTTTGGAGTATATTGTAAAGGTTTGTTGATTCTATTTCAATCTAAGATACTCAAGTAACTGAATTCTAAGTACGGTAGTGTCGATGTGGCTATAAAATGATTGATGTAAACATACTTATGTATTATATTGGATGTAATTTAATCTAAAGAGAACTAAACTTATTATAATTTCTAGCATGGTATTTCGTTTTGCTGAATGCATTTCATCCACATTTAGTGATGTGTAGTAATCGTTTTGATAAATCTAAACTTGTAACTGTAGAGCAAGGAAACAGTTAAATCATGTTTGATTAAATAACTTAGAATTATGGCCAAAATCTCTGATTGAATGTTAATCCTAATATCAGTTGACTCTGCATCATCCTACTTAATCATAGTAAAAATACGGGAATATTTAATAGAGAAGTGAGATTTCCATATTTTGGGTCCTAAAAGAATGATAACAACAATAGTGATCTTTTGTTGAGTTAGATGGAAGAACTTTTACTAATTTTGATTGAATTATGTTGTTCGGAAGTGTTTGATCGATTAATTTTGTGAATTCGAGGTAATTGATAACTATGTATCCTTCTTCGTATAATCATTATTAGAGAAATTAAATGACAGAAAAAATAAATTGATAAATATCGAATGTAATAGTAAAAATTCATTTAATAATAAGGACATTCTTTAAAGAATAATATTATTATAAGAATCAGTGTGTTTGAATTATGGCAGAGTTTTCTTATCAATTTAATATTACAATATATGAAAAGCAATCTGATACAGTTTAAGTTCTAGATACACGGTATAAGGAGTAAAAACAAAAACATCTAAATTGTTGAAGTTGAGATGATTTAGGGTTGATAGATTGGAATAATCAAATAGTTGCAATAGGATCTTAAAATTATTTGGTATACTTGTGAGTAAGCATTATGGAGAAATACAGCAAAAGATTAAGATGAAAAGATAAATAATAAATATGTCTTATGACTAATAAAGACATACATTATGGTCATTTTAAGTAAAAAATAAATCATTCAAATTATTAAGAAAGCTAACATAAAATTGGTGGTAATCCAAGTTCCCATTTATGATTCTGCAATAATTGTGAATTTGAAGTTTATTGGTGTAGACACAGTTAATAATCCAAATATTTGAATGGGGTACAAAAAATTCTATTGAATTCGGATATTCTTTTGTTTTATTTATTTAAGGTGGGAGAAAGTATAATTCAATTCTTTAGGATTTCCATAACTTTTGGGACAGCATTTTTTACTTTTTGATTAGCTCAGATACAAAAGATCACTCAATTTATTTATTTAATTTGAATACATTATAATATAATCAGAGATTTGGTTAAATAAAATCAACAGAATACTACTACTTTTGTCGATTATACATTTGTTCTTAGATGTAATTGATAGAATTGTATTTGGAATAGTTTAATTAAATGATTTATGTTTAACACATTTCTGGAACAGTCCTAAACATAATATTTATGAAGAATTATGTGTAAAAAGAATTAATTTTAATATATGGACAAATTGGAATTTTCTATTGTTTGGGGAGTACCATCTAAGGTCATTTATTAAGCTCTTCTTGATCCATTTGAGATTATGCAATACACAAGAGCACCTGCTGTTGTTGAACCAAAAGAAGGAGGATTATATAAAATAATGGAAGGACGTATTGAGGGCGTGTTCAATAAATTAGTATGATTAGATTAGATAAATAGGTTGAAAATCAAGAAATATAGATGACATGGAAATTCAACAATTGGAAACATCATTCAAATGTTACCCTCAGATTGATAGAGAGGGAAGATAGTTGTGAATTGAAAATCATATAAACCAATTTCCCTAATGATGTTGATAAGGTTAAGTTGGAAGATGGATGGAAAAATTAAATATTCGTTCCTATGAGCAAGATTAGAGGTTATCCTATTGAAGATGATGATTGATCATTTTTGAATGCTGTTCAAGTCATTATTTAATAATAATTTCAAAAATGTGAAGATAAGGTACCTTCTCCATCAAAAGTGATTCCATCAATTTTAAGTTTAGGACTCTAGGGATTACAAGGAGTGTTTTGAAAATTCTAAGGTTGTTTACTAATCAAATTCATTTTCTGGGTATTTCTCTCAGCAAAGGTCTTCAAAGGCGAAGTCACTTTCAAATTCGACATCTAATCCCATATAATACCATTAAAGAATGAGTGTCTTTTTAATTCAGCATATCCATCTCCCTAATAATAAATATAGGTTTTGTACCTTCACTCCTAACCTCTCAGATGGATTGGTTTACAAGATCTATTTTATCAGGTCCACACTTTGTGGAGACATCTTTTCTGGATATATGGGTTGGTTTTCAATAATTTTCTGTGAGATTACTTTGAAATCATTATTCGAATCTCGAAAAGGAGTGAAACCGTTAATCATCTCATAAATTAAAATTCCCAAAGTCCAAATGTCTACTTCATACGAATGTCCTGATTTATTCACTATTTCTGGGGCAAGATATTCTGCAGTTCCAGCAACCTTTACAATGATTTAATATTTATTTATTTACAGTATATGATTTCTCTCCATTTTCCCTTCTCATGGTAGCTAATCCAAAATCTGTCAATTTTACATGCCCAGTAGTTGTCAGCAACAAGTTTTCTGGTTTTAAATCTCTGTAGATAACTTTTAATTTTGTATTTAAGTATTCAAGAGCCAACACTACCTCTGCACCCACAAATTTCACTACGTTTTCTGGCAATCCTGTTTTCACCTGACTCAATATCTTGTAGAATTCTCCACCTGCTATGTTTTCCATTACAAAATAAATATGGGAATTTGTTTGAAATGCATATTTTAATCGAACAATAAAAGGGTGCTTGCTCTGCTTTAATACATTTCTCTCTAAAACTGTATTGTTTTGTAACTTGTTTTTGAATATCTTCTCCTTCTCTATCTATTTCATTGCATATATTTTATTTGTCGTTTTTTATCTCACTTTAAACACTATTCCAAATGCGCCCTTATGATACCATTTTTATATTACATATCCTAGTTTATCAATTTTTACGAAATCCTCCCTATTTATCTGCCCTTTTGATTTTGGTACTGTCAATGCATTGCTACTTGTAACTAAGTTTTGGCTTGATTGCATAGGTTGGGTAGCTTTTAGTTTTGTCAACTCAGCTTCCTCGCTTATAATGTTGGCAATTGAGCTTTTCTCTGAATGTGCATCACCCTTCGGACAACAATTACCCATAAATATTTAATTATAGTATCAATTCAGTTTCTATAGATTTATAGCTATAATTACACGATTGCATTTTCAGGATCTGCAGATATGATGTTCTCCTTTAGCTAAGTAAAATTATAAGAGTTATTTGATTAGGATTTAAACTGTAACAGGTTTTGTGATAATTGAAATTATTAGAATAGATAATTCATTTCAGTCATCAATTTATAGTTCTATTTTTGAATAATTATACTTATAATTACACAATTGAGTACTTATATGTTCAACCCTCAGGGCACATATTTCAATATCAAATTAATAATGAAGTTATAAAAATACATAAATAATATGTATCGTTATGATTTCAATATCTTCTTCTTATTGATAATAAATTTACAAATTGTCTGTTGTTGAAGAGCTCGGAAATTTTAACAATTAGTTATACGAATTTATTGCAGATACAATATTTATTAAATGGATGTAGAACATCGAATAAAATGTATCCAATGTTCTTTTATGAAATAGTTCGATACTTTATTACAATACATTATGTTACTATGAATTAATCTTTCTAATTTTGAAATAATAAGATGTTGTTTTATTTTGAGAAAATAACTATTAGCAAACGAAGTGATAATTTCATAAGGATTTAAAAATGATATTCAAAGGCATAAATTTAGTCTCATATTTCATTCAGAATCTGAAATAGAATTCTCAGAATAGTTGTATATGATAATGTTTTACAATATCTTTGATTTCTTTCAATTATAAATATATATATCTAAAATGGCTGAAACTGCAAAACAATCAAATGACTAAATCTTTATAGATTAGAAAAATATCATAGACATTTAATCATATGACTACATTTAATTATCATAGATTCAGAATCATTTTTTTTGCTTTTTTTCTTTTTTTATGGGTTCAAGAGGTCTAAGTCCCTCTTACCATTAGACAGTCGACATCTTGATTGCAGGTACAAACATATGTTTAACATTTTGTAGATTTTTTTCATGAAATTTCATCTAATAAGAAGGGTAATTTGAATCAGAATCAAAAGCTTACATAATGAAATTAAATGATTACCATTATAGGTTAGTTTAGCAAGTTTCCCTCCACTCATGCTCATTGATTTCTTTTTCTAGATCTCCTCCTTATAATTTGGCAGGAATTCTGGGAAAGCATCTTTACGTTACGTTTTTGGGACGGTAGTCCAATTACGTTCTTTATCAAGAAGACTTTAATCAGTTTTAGCGTAAGATCTTAAACCGGTTTCAAACTCTGCTTAACTGAGATGAGGAGTGGGACCAATTCTACCTTTAAGAAGGTGAAGGACGGGAGTAGAATTGCCATTATACTTCACATCCCTAGAAAGGTGTTTGTCCTTTTAGGACTCTATCTTTTGATCGCCTCTTGAGAAGGTTTGATTGGGAATTCTTGCCAATTTGGCTGTCATTTCTGCCTAAAGTCAAGATAGAGAATCTACATGATCAATATTTCTCAATTAGAGCACAAATTCAATATCTTTTTCAGTGATGTAGGGTTCACCTAAAAAATGGCTATAGTAGTTAACATTTCTGGGAATGCCATGTCGTTCTGGAGTTTTGATAGTTTGAGATTTCTCTGGTTTTGGAATGGCTGTTTAGGAAGTACTCTTAGGCAATTGCTTTTTCATTTATTATATTAATTTAATTATTCAATTTTCTTTGATATTTAATCATACCTTAAGGAGAATGGAATTGGAAGGATATCAATGAAAAGGATTGCGGATGCTATGATATTTCACTAATACTTGATGAATATATATTTATATATATAAATTATTTTTGAAAGTCAGAACTTAAATGGGATCATGCTGCACCAGTTCTTAAGGACAGGAGAAGAATTGTCAGATCATCTTATAAACATAAATACAAAATACTATCATTTCTGAGTACGATCTTAAATATCATAAACAAATTCAATTCATTTAAGGTAGGATTGCGAGTTATTCCTTAGCATGTGCTAGAGGATTTCTAGTGAGGAAAAGATATTAGAGTCTTATTCAGAAGTTGCGAAAATAGAAAATGGTCAAAAAAGAATAAAACCACTATTCTAATGAGTTAAGTTTCAAGGACCCTTCACACTTCCAAGACACCAAATTCACTCCTATGCCTAAAAATCAACACCAACAAGTATATAGGGTGAAGAAATTACCAAAAGTACCCGAGTATTTAAGCAATAGAGTAAACAAGGTAATATGACATTTTATTTTAATTGAAAGATTCTGTAATTATATACAACTTTTTAATATGACAGTGAAGAAGATAATAAATTTAATTTTCCAATATATTAACTTGATGATGGTTGCATTTACCATGGACAGTGGAAGAATGGGTAAGCAAACTATTTATTCAGTCATAGACACGGATGCGGAAAGTAATATTGGTTAAATGGAACATTCTACGAAGGATATTGGGCATTCAACATGTTTGATGGTCGTGGTAGATTGGTTCATAGTGATGGGAACATTTATGAAGGAGAATTTAAGAATGACAAAGCTTCTGGTGAAGTAAATAAATCATACATCTCTAGGGGATATATTACAGTGTCGACGGATTAAAATACGTAGGACAATGGGAAAATAATGTTTAAAATGGTCATGGAATGGAAATATGGCATGATGGCACTTCTTTTGATGGAGAATATAAAAATGGACTCAAAAATGGCTAAGGAGTGTTTAAGTGGTCTGATGGATCAGTATACACTGGATAACTCATCGATGGCAATCTTGAAGGAATAGGATAATTAAAATGGGAAGATGGTAGAGTCTATGAAGGATGTTGGAAGAATAATTGTATGCATGGACATGGAGTACAATATACATATGATATCTAGTAATTTAAATGGCCGGATGGGAGGAAATACGAAGGACAATACAATAATGGAATTAAAGAGGGAATGGGGTAATTTGAATGGCCTGATGGTAGAGTAATAATATATATCTTTTATTTTTAGCTGTATAAAGGAGAATGGTTGAATAATAAATAACATGGTATTGGTATTTATTTAGGATACAATGGAATCGAAAAAGAAGGAGAATGGTCTGATGGAAAACTCGTCAGATGGAACAAAGGTAAAGCAAGAATGTCAATAATTTGATGTTTATAAATTAACTAACTTTCTCAAATTTTCCTATTTTATCTGTTAGTATTATTACTTTATTAATATTTCAAATTAAGTGAGTCTATATCTATATTTAAATCTAAATTAACTTATATATAATAACTTATATTATCAAATTCATAATCTTAATTTTGATAAAATAGATTTATTAACTGAAATAGGTTCCATATTAATTTCTTCTTTGATCTTGATTAGCTCCTATGAATTACTACTCTAATTATTGCCTCCAGCTGTCATATCAAAGTTCGGGTATTGTTCTTTATCAGGAGTTTAATTAGTTTTCTTTTTTTTGGTTTTCTTTTATGATTATTAAGCAAATTAAGATTCTGCAATCAAATCATATATATTGAGTCTGCTTTCTTCTGGAATTGGTCTTGTTTCAATCACTAAGATTAATTTGAATTCATACTTTAAAGATTATCTTGTGGTGTGACTCTAGAAGTGTTTAAAGTACGATAGACCGATATTTTGATATAGAATGCAATGGCGAGAAAACCTATTAGAATGGCAACAACAGTAAATATGATACCAATAATGTTGTTGCCAGTCATCATTATAATCACAGCGCCTGTATAAATAAAGATGATAATTAAGATTAGCATTTGTTCTATTAAATTGTACCATTTAACAAAGCAAGGCTCCATTTTGAAGTGAAAGCCAAGTACAATTACTAAGATTCCAATTGAGAATAGCATCTAATATTCAAATGAACTATCAAAAGTATTGAAAAAGGAACTTAAACCCATAATCAATAGTTTTGCTTAGACATATATTATTATGTAGGTGGATTTATACTTCAAATCTAATGAGTGATCACTGAATTAAAAAGTAGGTTGTAAATAGGTAGATAGAGGATAGTAGATTCCTACTCCGATCAATCCAAAACCCATATAGATGTAATGGTTGGTTGACAGACATTCAATAGATGTGTTTCTAGCGAATTTATATGGCAAATCACCATAATCACAAATGTAGGCATCCATGAATGTTCTCATCACAGTCATGAAGAAACCACTCAAAATTGAGATAACTCTAGGGAGAATGAATTGAATATGAGGGAATCTTGCCAAATTACCATTTTCATCTTATCCAAAGGTATTCCTTTGCACAGCATTCAAACTCAGGGATCCTAACAGTCCATACAGTATGGCTATTCCTAAGGAGAAATAGAAAAAGAAGTCATAACTGTCATAGAATGCTGATCCACTGATTGTATCTGATCCAGAGATGGAAGTACTCCCAAACCACCCTACTTAAGGGTTGTAAGCTACACTTGCTAGACTATACATATCATAGAGTTTAAAAATCAAAGCAAGTATATTACTGGAGGTAAGTTTGAATTCAATTGATTTCTACTATTAATTAGCTAGGTTATTTTCATATTCTTCAGTTGCTTCAAATAAAGTATCAATAGTCAATTTTGCAACTAGTTTCCAATCAGGCATTCTTTATCTTTTTTGATCAAGAATAGCAGTTTTGTCTCCTTTTGGTTTTGGTTGTGCAGCAGCTAAATTAGGAAAGTATTTCTCAATGAGATTCACTCTAAACCAGTCACTGCATGAATAACAACATCTCTTATAGCATGGTAATTTGATTGCATAGTCTTATTCAATTTAATATTTGTTTTAATTATATTACTGTTCTTTTTATTTTTTGGATAGCTTTGCAACTTTGCTTTCAGTATTATTTTAATAGATCCTAGATTAATTACTGATTTCATCTTGGTATGCTTACTTAATCTTGATTGCATCGAATTTCGAGAATTCTGCTTAGACAACATTTGAGATGAAATTCTATCTTTCGAATGGGTTAATTCTGAGTTTATTAGTTTATAATACTTTCTTATTTGAGTATTTGAAATTTATCATTAAAGATTTCATCGAGGTTATGAGTTATGGATATATGTGATCAAGCACCAACTATTTCAGATTGTCAAATTGATCTCCATCATAATCTTTTATCATTCCTTTGATCAACCCAGCAAATTATACTTCATTTAAACTATAGGTCTAATTGATCCAGATGGTCTTGGCATATTTTTCATAATCAATTAAATCGAAATGCAATTCAGTCAATCTACAGAATTACTGTAAGTCAGCAAAACAAATTGAGGGTTCTAAACCTTATTCATTATTAGCAAATTCCATGAATACTTCATGCATGAATTCTGCAATCATTTGATCTGATGATTATAATGAAAAGTACTAGTCCGATGATTTGATATTCCCTAATGCTTTATCATTCAATTTCTTAATTTAAATTTAATTTAGACTATCAGTTTTTTCACTCTTTATTTCTTAGACTGGCTTGTACTTCTATTTGTAAAGGATCTGTTTATCTTCAGGTTGACACTCTATCTTCCTTAAAAGTGTATCACCTTCATCAGCAATCCTATAGAAAGAACTGAACTGAGGAATCAAATCATTCATTATTTATCCAGCATCATCATCCATGTTTAAGATATCTCTAAGTTTTATAATCTCAACGTTTTTTTGGTTCTCTAATTAATTCATTTCTTCTAGACCACACCTACAACACAAACAGTCCATTAAATACTTTTTACAACCTGTTAATTCCTATTCTTTAACAATATTCTTCTATTTATCCAGCAATTCCTATTCCAATAGAGTAAGATATTCTTGATATACATTTTTACTTACCAATTTGTGATCATACTCTAACTCAGGTCCATCATATTTGATTACATTTATGGGTTCTCCTTATATCAGATTTTCTGTCAAGATCTACTTCAATTCTCTAAAATCCTCCTACTTCTATTTCTTTTTTTAACCCTTATTCTTTATAGCATTTAATTTTGTATAAATGATCTGTAACTTATTTAAATATTTCATATACAGAATTCCAACTACACTTAAATCACTAAGTACATGGTTCTCTTTTAGCATCTCCAATACTTTTTTCAAAATTTCCCTTTTCTTCCTTTCGAATTCCTCTCTATTCAATAACAATGACAAAAACAATGATGTCCCTGTCACTCCAATCATACATACAAATAACCCTAATCCAACAGCTCCCTATGCGAAGTATTAGAATGTCGAGTCTGCATTATTAAAAAACACTGCCATTGTAGGCACTATCACTCCAAATGGGAAAATAACACAACACCACAATAATGAACTGACAAAAGGTTAAAAGAAATCCTCAAATGAAATTGATTGATTTTTAATTGTCACAAGGAATTTGTAAATCAGAAAACACACTGGAACACCAATTGACAATGCTTCAAATAATATAGATGCTCTCTCATCTGATATTAATAAAGATACTGGAATGAACAAAAACAATGGTACCAAAATTCCACAACAAACAGCTGTATTTTAATAAAATCGTTTTTAAATTCTCTTTCTATTCTTTTATTGTTCTAATTTTTATAATTCCTTTATGTCTTAAGCAAATTCATATGTTAATTCTAATGATCGATGTCCAAGGGCTATATTAATAAGCACAAACAACAGAGGTGTAATGACCATTATAGCAAACATAGTTGCACCTTCTGTGACTGTTGCTGTGTTATTTTGATCAAATATATACCAAAAGAAATAACTTATAATAAAGTAGGACAACAAAAAACAAACTGAATTTATGCAAAATGCTAAATCAGTTAGATTGTAGTACTTGAATTCATCAAAAGTTGGAATTATCTGGTCAGCTAATTCCTTGGCTCTTTTTAAAGCTTTGAGGGATTGGAAGAAAAAATATAATAATACTAATAATAGCACTATCATCCCTATTACAATGAAAACGTATGCAATTATCTACAAAGACGAGTATTGATAAAGATTGTAAAGAGGTAAGAATACTCCAATAGGAATTGCTATGAAAAAACAGACAAACCCTAATGAATTTATGAACAATCTCCTTTTATCTAAACCCATCAATGTTAAAGATAACCATAGAATATTCACAAACAATGGACAATAATACAAAATTTCAGTGAAGTTAGTGATGTCCTTTTCGTATTCCAGATAATCACTCAATTTCAAAAATCCAAATATTATTGGAGCTCCTATTACCAAAGGTACCACTAAATATGTGTACTATGGTTTCCTATCGCTTACTGATATGAAGACTCCCAAAAATAAATACAAAGGAATTATTATCAATTCTAAAGACAAAGTAATTATGGCTGTGTAATCCACTTGTGATTATTTCAATTCAGAAGCCAACAAAATGTAAAATATAATCTCCATAGTTATGTATACTGCCCCAATAGAATATATGACCAACCTAGAAATAAAAGCACTTATCTAAACTATTTTTTAGGACTATTATTATTCTTCCTTTTAAATTTGTTATTTCAATATTTTAACTTTTACCCTATCCAAAGCGGTTTTGATAATGCCTGCTGGCCAGTCAAACAATCTCGTATTTATCATAAAATAAGAGAAGGATATCGACACAAATATGGGAATGTATAAGGAATTTATGATGTAGTTGATCACTTTCTCAGCTGTTATCACATCCAAGCCAATAACATATGTAAATATTAAAAACCCTAACAAGTAGATGATAAATAAGCACCATCCACTTGAGAATATTGCACCCATCAATTAATTGTACATACTTTCCACTAACTGTTGAAGCACAGAAACAACAATGCCATTCAAAATAGAAATTATAAATGCACTTAAAAATAAAACCATATCATAATCAACTGCACTATTATTTACATTGAATACATCTAGATATACATAGAATAAATAGAATCCTGGGAATAAGCATCCAAAAATAAACAATAATAGTAGGATTATCTAATTCTTTATTATTATTATCCTATCGATATACTCAATTAATTTACGCTAATGTGAAACTTGTAATCATTATACCAAATTCAGGTAGTTATTAAACAATATTTAATTTAGTTGAATTCTTAACGATCATATCATCCGATTTCAAAGACTAATGATAGTTAAACTAAGTCATACAATCACACTAGCTAAATATGTAAAATATATGCTCATATAAACAATAATCGTCAGAATATGGTAGAATGATATCTAAAACATATTATCTAAAAATGAGCAATTTTTATTGAACTATTATTCATAATAGAGTATTTTCTGTCTAAAGCTTTCTAAAGTCTAATTGGATAGGGGTTTTCTTTGCTTTTCATCGAGTAATTCTAATAATTCTGCAATTTATGGATGATCAGGTCCTTAATATTTATATTCAATCTGATTGATAAAAAAGGATTTCTCTATTTAAGGAACTCTAATTATTTGCGCTTGATTCATACTTATTTTGCTCCAACAGTATATTTTAATCATCCTCAATTGGTGTTAATTAAGATTCATTTTACGCATTTGCTTAATTCATTGCAATTAAAAATGATAAGTCTAATATTAGGATTTTATTTTTTATAATTCTCTGCATATATACTAATCACAAGATTTACATGGAGATAATATTTCACCCTCTCTTTTGAAAAACTGTTAAAGGATATAATACCTATCAAAATAAAGATTATCACTCGGATTTTCTAATTCCAATTCCAAATTACATATAAAATATATAGAAAAAATTATAGAATTTCAATAGCATTATAAATGTAATAATTTATAATGGGAATTCTGGGATAAAGACAAAGTTGGTCTAAGTTCCAATAATTTGTCTTTTCATAAAATGAGAAATTGGAATAAATTATGAAATACAGAAGAAGATATGTTAGCATCAGACTTTAAAACTTTATCGCTAGTTACAAAGACAAATATAGATAGTAATATTATAAGTGAAATTACAAATGGATGACTTAAATTTACTTAGACTTAGCATCGGGAATCAATTTTCTGGATCAAAGTATGAGTTTTGAAAAAGCCGAAAAAATTTAGAAGTCACTTTAACTGTCAAATCATGGGAAAAATAACAGCAAATGTTTAATTAAGAGATAATTATGAGGATAAAATATGTTGAAATTTTTCTCATGATTTTTTTGTATTAATCAATAATTTTTTTTTATAAGTGATGAGATCCAAACGCAATGCTAGATTTAATACAAATGACAATTCAAAAGATAATATAATCGATAGCAACAGAAAGCCTTCACCTCCAAAAATTTATATGAATACATCTAACACAAATCAATTAATATCGGAAAGTGTTTATTAAAGGAAAGGACTTAGTATTCCAAAGGATTGCCTTGGCTCAGGAAATAGCTTTCAATGTAATTAAAATTAATGATGTTAGTAAAGCGATCTCTTCCAAAAAACTAAACACCAAGAATGTTGAGCAAAAGTGGAAGGAACAATTATGATCAGGAGGTACTCAAATAGATGATAATTAGGAAAGAGTCCTAATTTAATTATATAACCAAAGCAAGAACAAAGCATGGAAATAGAATGTCTGTCCCCAACATAATAATATTTGGATATTAAACTCCCCTTTTTTAGTTCTCAAACCACATCCAAAAAGGAACAGACAACCAGAAGAGTGATAAAGGATGCTTCGCTCAATAATAGCTAATTTACTTCAAAAGAATCACAAATGAAATCGTCAGATAAATCGAAAATTAATAAAATTAGGAAGACTAATTATCATTAACAATAGGAAATCAATCCTCAATTCCAGGTGTATGAGTTCAAACAAGAACTCAAAGCTCTAAGAGTAAAAAGGACCGAATCTTTTGAATGGTTATAGGAGGACTCACAAGGTTAGGAGGAATCCTCCTTTAATTAATTCAAGCAGATTAACTTAGGAACTTACTATATGGACAATTTAAGGAAATATCTCAAAGGGCTAAATCTAGAGGGCCTGTATGCTCAACTTTATATCAACCATTTTGTTCAACAGTTTCACAGTCTCTAACTCAGTAAACAGTTTCTTTAACCCGACATCAAGGAAATAGAGCGTCGTAGCATACAAATATAATAGATTAGTAATTCATATATAGATTGAATAGTAAAGCAAAAAACCTTAGTCCTGGATTTGGATGAGACACTAATTCATTGTAATGAGTAGCCATAGATGAAATACGATTTTAAGGTTCCCATCCAAATGCCGAATGGGCAGATTCATGAAGTATACTAAACTATATTAAAAAGGCAGGAATTAGCGTGAGGCCCTTTGCTCAGTAATTTTTACAGGAATGCTCAAAGCATTTCGAAGTTATGATTTTCACAGCTTCTCATCCTTTATATGCTGACAAGATTATTGATAAATTGGATCCAACCAAAAAGTGGGTCACTTGTAGATTGTACAGAGAACATTGCATATAAACCTAATAGGGTATATATGTAAAAGATTTGAGAATTTTGAACAGGAATCTCAAGGACGTCGTTTTGATTGATAATGCTGCTTACTCTTTTGCTTACTAAATTGATAATGGTATTCCCATCATACCTTACATTGATAATCCAAAGGATAATGTATAAATTGTACTGATTTAGGAATTAATTGGTGTTATTGACTATCTTAAAGTCTTGCTATAAATTGATGATGCAAGGGAGATAAATGCTAAAACATTTATCTTGAAGTAAATATAACAATGTCAAAGTCTTGATGAAGCAATGAAACTTTTGTTAGTGATATGAAAAAATTTTGAGGATAATTTTTTGATAATATTAAATTAAAAAAGAATTTATTAATTAACTTAAGAGATTAATATTAATTATAAAGTTCATTAGTAATTAAATGGCCAATTCTAAATTTGAGTATGTCAAGCAATTTGAATAAATGCAGAATCTCTTACCAAACACATACATTGTAGTCAGAATAGATGGAAAGGGATTTCACAAATTCACAAAATGTTATGATTTCGAAAAACCTAATGATGAACAAGGACTTAAACTAATGAGTTTCAGTGCTTGTGTTGTTATGGAAACATTTCCTGATATTTAAATTGCATACGGACAATCTGATGAATTTTCATTTGTATTAAAAAAGGATAGTGAGTTATATAGCAGAAGATCAGATAAAATAGCTACATGTGTTTGTTCTACATTCACTTCAGTTTATGTATGCATTTATACTTAATCTAGACATTGAATTTTGAGAAATTCATGAAGAAACCTTTGCAATTTCCATACATCCCTATTTTTGATGCAAGATGTGTCTGTTATCCAGATCTATAAAACATTAGAGATTATTTGTCCTGGAGATAAGCGGATTGTCATATTAATAATTTATACAATACGTGTTTCTGGGGATTAGTTCAGAAAGGCATGAATAAATAGGAGTCTGAAAAAACATTAGCTGGTACAAATGCAGGGGATAAAAATGAATTGCTATTTTCTAAACTAGGAAAAAACTATAATAATGAGCTTGAAATGTTCAAAAAAGGAACAACCATAATAAGATAGCCTACTTAAGAAAGAGTTAACTTAAAGGTTGAATTAGATGTGGATTCCAAAGAATAATAAAAATTGAATAAAAAGTAAAAGAAAAAGTAAAAATACAAGGATCTCAACTAATAGGAATTGAATCAACTCCCTAACCAATAGAAAGAGGATTTGTAAGTTAAGGAGTTTTATGTGGATATTATCAAGGACAATTTTTGGATTGAAAATAAAGCATATATCTTGTTGTGATTGTTATTTGTTAATGATTATACATTTTAATATTAAGATCTTTATTATTAGATTTGAATAAGTGTTTACTATATTTGAACACACAATGATGAATTATATCTAATTAATTTAAATATGAATAAAGAACAGAACTCGATTAACTCGTCCACAGATAGCGTAGAAATGACTTAATATGGGGATCAGCAGATGAAGCACATCAATAATGGTGCTTAATTGCAGACAGCAAAATAAAAGGCTATGACGATATCATTAATAAGTATAGAATCTAAGAAAATTACAAAAAAGGAAATAAGACACAAGTTGAGGATATTTATGAATATTACAAGAGCAATGAGATATAACCTGAAGAAAAATTGAGGTTGCTTCAAAAAGTCTATAATGACGATGTAGCTGAACATAGTGCTGATTCTAAGGAAGTCAAATAAGTAGAAATGAATTTGCCTGGATTTTATAAAAAGTGTATGAGAAATTGCAATATTTCATAGTTCATGAGGCAATCCCAATTTTCTATCCGAACACTCCAGGTCTCTTATTTTGGAAAGGTTGGGTAGGATTAATAATTATATTTTTCTTTTATGAAATTCCAATCTATATTTCATTTGACAAAGAAGTTTGGGAAGTAAAAGTTTGTTTTAATATGAGTTTGTACCTGAATGGGCCAAAATTCTAATTGCTGTCTTGGCTTTGGTGACCTTTTCATTTGATATGTGCTTAGAATTTCATATGGCTTATTATTCACATGGAAACCTCGTAGTGGATAGAGCCAAAATTGCTCATAGATATTTGTAATCGAGGTTTTTATTTGATGTGATTGCAACCTTAGCCTTGTTAATCAGATCAATTATTTCAACATATAACGAAAGATGGTTGTATCTTTTTTTCTATTTGAAATATCCATCATTAACTCGTATTTCCTTTTAATTTGGTGAAATCGTTATGCTTCATCGTAGAGTGCGTACAATATTTTAAATTGGAAAAGTCTTAGCAGTCCTTTAATTCGTCTTTATTGTCTACGCATGCATATGGTATCTGGCTTGTCTCTATGCAACCAACAACGGATACAATTCCTGGTTGACTCATGAAGGCAATTTCGGAGCCATAAGTGAATTGACTTAGATCTAAAAATTCTTCTATTCCTATTATTTCAGTGTAGGTACAACAACAACAACAATGGGATATGGAGATATGTAGCCTCTTAATACTTTTGAAGTGTTGGTTGGTATGGGAGGCATACTATTTGCGGTTCTCATTTTTGCTGTGATGGTCAATATCATATTTAAGATTTTAGAAGAATATGCTATCTATGATATCAAACGCTATTAACAGCGTTTGGTGATTAACAGATATATGATGGTTAAGGATGTACCATAGTAATTAAGAGAGCGTGTTAGGTAATATCTGAATGAGCATTGGTATTAAGAAGGAAATAGGGATATTCAAGGAGAATAAGAGATCATTGGAGAGTTAGCTCCAGAATTGAAGGCAGAATTACAATTAGCTAGTTGTGGAAAAATTCTATTATAAATACCACTATTTTGTACTAACTTTTCAAGGGGATTTCTAAGAGAACTATCATCAACTATTTAGGAGATGAATTATGCTGAATATGAAATGATATTCTTGGGTGAAGATCCTTAATTTTTGGATGATCAATCAATATACTTCATTAATGTAGGGTAAATAGCTATATTCCCTAATAATTTCAATAAGTAATTGGTATTAAAGAAACTGGGAAAGGGAGAGTACTTTGGAGAATTCGCCTTTCTTACTGGCTTTGAGAGAAAAGCATCTGCCTAAGCTCTACAATACAGTTAATTATACAAAATTAGAAGAGAGGATTTCTTAGGCACATTGGCTAAATTTAATGAAGATTACGAGAAGTATTGGATGATTAAAGATAAGATAGAATTCTAAAAGGATTTCTCAGCAATAGGATAATGTTATACATGCTAATCTACTGCCCATTACAGTACTGAATGTGAAGTGACTCATTTGGTAGTGGATGCAAACAAGTTAATAGTGTTTAATTAAGACAAATAGGGGAGAACTAAATTCAAGAGAAAGGAGAAAAAGAAATGGTAGACTTTTGTTAGAATTGAATGTTTTAAGAGAGAGGAAGTAGATAACCAATAAATAGCTGTCAAATCTGATATGGAACAGAAATTGAAAGAGGTAGAACAAGTGTAGGAACATTTAGATGATGATGAATTTAAGAAGTTTCAGAACATTTTAAAGACTAATTTTGATACTTATACCAACCAGTATGAGGTTAAGGAAGGTCTACAAGGAATGGATTAGGCATTTTAATTTACTAAATATTTCACTGAAAACAATTATGCAAATCAATCCGAATTTATCAATACTCAAGTTTAGATTAAATAGCCAGCTCGTTTATCCATAATCCGTAGTAAATAAGTATCGTAGTAAAGGAGTAGACAATCATCTGTATAATAGTGATATTATTCTAATTTAATTTATCTGTAATTATAAGATATAGAACTATCTGATATATAAAACACAAACGTTATCATACTCAGTATTTTTCAAGATCATTATAATAATATTTACAAATGTAAAGCAAAATGATTTTTGATAAATTTATACTTAAAATTGTTTATAGATATATAAAATTTAATTGTGAACCAAAAAAGACTTAAATTAATCAATGTGTCTCAAATACACGATGAAGCAAATCTTATACCAACAATATTATGATTGATTAAGGAGCCACTCTTGCAAAATAGACTGGTAATCCCACCCATAAACCTGTAAGTTACTCTCTTTAAATGGTTTTTACAAAACAATCAGCAATTCCTGAATAAGGATACTTTCCATTAGCTTTAACTTTCATTTTCTAAAGTTTAGTCTTAATATTATCAAAAGGTAATGATAAAACAGATGTAACCACACCAGCCCCAACTGAAGCCCTAATTTATGAAAATCTATTATACATGATCCTATCAGACATTGTTTCCGTCTTTCTTAAAAATATTTTCATACACCATTCTTTGATCTCATCATAAGTAGTCAATTAACCAACTGTGATTGCAATTGCTCTTAATACAGTAGGAGTTGATCCTCTCCATAAAGTTGGCAGTCCTTCCTCCTTAGTAATCCTGTACAAAGCATCAAAGGCATTTTTATAATTCCTACGTTCTGCAATTGGCAAAGTTGCATCAGCCTAAAATCTTACTAAGCAAATATCGGTAGGGTTCCCAATCAAAGCTCCGCATAAACCAGAAAAAGAAGATGCAGCAACCTTCTCTAAGAATCTGAGATCCCCTAATGATTTTATTATGTCAATCTTACTTTTTTAGTTGATCTTGACCGAATCTGCGATTACTTTGTAAATTCCCAGTCTGGCTGTAGCATAAGTTAATTGTCTCAACATTGCAGATCCCATTCTAACATTACATATTACTTCTTAATACCCTTAATAGAACCCTTTCAATCCCTCCACTTTATACATCTCTTTCGCCACTTCTATTGGAGAAACCTTTGTTGAACCATTACTTATTCCTTTATTTTCCCCATATATCTAAAGTCTAACCTTCCATGTATCCAAGGGCATAATAACTGCAACAGCTGTACACCCTGAAATTCCACCGAAAAGAAATGGCTTAATGTACGATGCTTTCTTATTCTAATTAGACATATAAATATTAATTCTGGCGATTATTATTTTCTTTGTCACCCTTTAGTATTCCATCCATGAATATTTATAAATAATAAAACAATTGTGTAAAGACTATAAGTGATTCATTTTGTTAAAGTTTTATAATAATTTAACAACTACTTTCAACTTCAATTTTATTTATACACTACCTTAGCTCTTGATTGGTACAGCATTTTATTTTAATATATGTTCAGAGGAGAATAGGATTTGGAAATTATATAATGAACACTCACATAAAAATAAATAATTTTAGAATATAATTGTGGATATCTTTTTAAGGATAATCACTATGATGGATAGTTGAATTATTAATTAGCTTGCTAAACAAATCCCTTTAAGAATCCCTACTATGCTAAGCCCTAACCCAAAGATTTCGTAGCTATACCTGTTTATGGGGCCTACTATTGTTAATATTGAAAATTCTATTATGACGGATATTATTAAGGAGGGTATATTTATTAAGGAGGATATACTTATTGTTGAGAGTACTGTTATTATTAGGGAGGGTATTATTAAGGTGGCATAAACTATTGAGGTTATTATGGATATTGTTATTGCTAGTACTGCTAATAAATTTACTATTAAGAATTATATTATTGACTTTCTTAATCAGTTTAAAATTATTAATTTTTAGGATATACATTATATTGAGGATTCTATGGGACTCCGATATTCTATTAAGGAGCATTATTGATCGGAATCTAATATTAATTAGCTTGAATATCTAATATTAATACAAAATTATTACTCTTAGGTGGCTTAGGGGGTATTCCCATTAATTCCATGTATTCTACTAATTAATCTGGTAGTTCAGCCAAGACTTCTTTAGATAAGAGAGCTGGATCATTTTTAAATTCATTGAACGGAACAAATTAAACTAGGTCTCTAACTGCTTTGTTTCCTTTGCTATCAACCATACTTTTATCATCATTATCTAAAATTGACATGTTCTTAAAATTGGCATCTCCAATACCAATGATAATGACTGATAATGGTAAATTTGAGGAAGCAATTATATCATCTATAGATGCTTGCATGTCATTTGTTTGTCCATCAGTAAGGATCATCAAAATCAAATAATTTTCACTACCTTAATCTTTGCACTGCTAAGCCATATCCATAGCATTTTTTAAGATTGGATGTAAGTAAGTGGGACCATCAAATGATAAATGATGCAGTGAGGATCTATAACATTATACTATTCCATCTAAACCATATACTCTAATAATATAAATTATAAAATTTACTCTGGATCCTCAGGATTATCATTCAGTGGGAATAAATGAAGGGTTTGATTGGTGTTAATCAAATTCATTCTTGGTTTGCATCCAAAGCCATAAACAGGAACCTTCTTATCATGATCATAATTGATTAGAATCTCCACAACACTGATAATAGCTTGTAAATATTGACTAGGAGCACCATTTTAGGTCATGTAATGAAGTGACTTTGGATCATTTGGATTACCATTTGAGGCTGTAAAATCAATAGCAACTATCAAGTTTAATTATTATCCCCCAGCACAATAATCTAAAAATGTATATCGAGTTCTTAATTAAAATTTATTGAATGATAAAACGCCTGAAGATTCATTCTTTTTCATTTTGTTTTTAAACTCCTTTTTCAATATTTTATTCTATGTACTATGTTCCTTTAATTCTTCTACACAAAATGTTGTTTCCCCTAAATAATTATGCTTACCAGAACTTCTATAATCCCATAATTCAACTTTGATTGGCATTTGATAATCGCCATTGCATAATTTTTATGCTTTGCAACTTATTTATTTCCAAAGTGGAGATGTTGTGTCTTTGGCAAATTCTGTTTCATAAACCAAAACTGGATTATTATCATCCTTCCTTAATCTATAAAATCTTAAAAATGGACATGTCCCATGCCAAAACCAAAATCTTGTTTCAGGTAAGCTCTAACCAGATAAAGTAAGGATGATCTCATCATTACATTATTTAACTTAGTCTGCTTTTACAATAATTTTTCCACTTTTCTTTCCAGAAATATTAACTAAATCACCCATATATATTTGATCCTTAGAACCAGCTATTTCAGCCACTGTTGTTTCTGCAATACCAATTATCTATAATATTCAGAAATATCATACTTTTGATTGGGTTGGACTAATGTAATGGTGAACTTCCATTTTTAAATGTTGTTAAACTTCAAAATGGTACTCCAATTATATAGAGGTCGCAAAATTTGGATTTAAATTGTTCCAAATCAATTCTGTTTGTCCAATTTTAGTCCCTAAATAAGATTAATCGAATTCTTACAATAATTGTTGTTTTTTTGATACATAATTACATAAGGGTCACTAACACTAACTGTGTCTAGATCATCTAATTATCTGCAACTAATAAATAGCTCGAGCTTCTGAATTGCCTCAGAAAACTAGCTTTGCTCAATTTGACTATTATACATCATGAATATTATTTGAAGAATATATTATCAAATTAATTATTTCTGAATGAAAGCATATAGAATGTTTTTCAAAATCAAAGCATAAAAACTATTCATTTCTATTTACTAAGTGTTATTCTTTATTTAAATAGACTCCTTTTCATGTCACTTTAGAATTTATGAATATTTTATGTATATACTTAAATTGCAATAAATTAATTCATCTCAAATTCAATTTACAACTGGTACTCATTTTATGAAATTGTTTTTAGATTTATTACCCAATGTCCATAAATTTAACCTTTAAAAAAAAAGTTAATTTAATTACTTAATTTATGATTTTTTCATCTAGCCTCCTAAATAGTGATTAAAAAGTTTGTATCTTGGAATAATATTTATCATATTGACAATTTAAGCTAAAGATTTGTTATTTTGAATTTAAGACATTTAAAATAATAGATATCCAATTAAAATTAAGCAATGCTTCATAAAAAAATTATGTTTAGATCATTATTCTCAGTGTCTAATTTCTCCAATAATATTGGAATTATCTAAATTTAAACACTCAAAGTTCAATTGAAATTATTCTGATTCAATTTATATAAAATATTTCTTGATACTTCTAATTGATGACGATAATGATAAATTGATAAATCCTACAAAAGCATAAACTTGATTGTTTCTCCCTTTAGCATATATCAATGGGGAAGAATGCAGCAGCCTCATTTTTACAAATATTTTTAGCCTTAAGTTCATCAATAAACCAAAATGTTTTACTGGTTTGGAATAGGAGGTTTATACTAAATAAATGATCTTCTTGATTATATATTACATTATTAGAAAAAATCATTTTGTGAGGTAATTCATTTTAAAAATCAATTTAGGAATACTTAAATTAGTTTAAGTTGATTTTATAAATCTTACCTCAGATTTTCATTTATTTTTTCAATTTGAACATCTAATTTAAATGAGTTGATAATCAATTAAGAGAGATTCATAAACTTTGATAGCCAATCAAAACCTTTTATATCAAGATGATCTAGATATTTATTTCCTTGCTCTGAACTCTTAAAATCATTTAAACAAATATAATAGGAAGGTTTCGAGAGATAAAAATTAAAAGTAATTAACAATATATATCATTAAATAAGCAAACTAAAAGAAACCTTTACGTTTTTATTTAAAAAACTTGACTCTGCATATTTTAGAAGTTCCTTCTTAGAATGTTCGTGAATTCTCTTATGATCCTTTTCATGCGTCAATCGAATAACATCGCCATTTTTTGGTTTCATGCATTTGATCTCTTATATTATTTCCATACTACTTCTAATCTTATCTTTAACCCTCTCAGTCACTGCTTAATCTAAGGTAAGCTTTCTCTTTTCTACTTTTTCAACTGGAGGTTTAGGTTAGAATTTATATTCTGGATTTTTTTATTTTTCTATAGCTAATTTAATCCAAGTAATCATTTAAGTAGATTTTATTCTGTCCTTTCTTGATTTAGGTTTCACAACTTTGTAAGATGAGTCAATTGGAATAGGAATCTCAAAAAAGAAATTATGGTTTTATAATACTTTGTTTAGTATCTCTTCTACACTTTGAGGATACATTCTGTCAATATAAACACATTCTAATTTTTGCTATCTGAGATATCTATTTTAAGTATCTCTGTCTTCTTTAGTTGCTCGTATAACAAAAGGAAAGTCAACTATTTTTGATAAAATATTCTGATCAATAGATATCTATTACGGAGGATAATTATTGATTAATTATTGAATTCCTTTTTTACTTATAGTTAAAATAGAATCACTTCTCTGGTTACCGACCATGCTCATATCGTGTAACTGTTTTGCAAGTTCCAATTCACGGTTGAAATAACACAATTTTCCCAATTCCTCATAGCATCTCAATTCCTCATCCTAATTTTACATGAACCATGTAAATTCTATCGACTCTAGTCTAATGAAAAATATACTTTTTTTATGAAGATTTTTCCAATCTCATATTTTTATAATTATTTGCATATGATTCCCAAATGTAGCAATGCCCATTAAATGGTTTCGAAATCTCGAGCAAATTCGCTTAAAAATATTGTATTCTTCGCATATATTATTGATTTTCCATACTCTCGGAAATGTAACAATGTTAGCGATGCAACTCTAAACGTTTTAATCAACTAACATAAGTTATCTTAATCAACAGTTAGAATCATCATGTTTATTAATATCGCCATAGCTTATTCACAATCATCATTCTTTATAGCATCAAAATATTGCTACTAAAATTAGCTTACAGGGCTGTGAGATCTTATTGTTAGAGGAGTCAAATCAGATTTTTTAGTATGGAGAGATAATCTTGATTGACTATGATTATTCATTCTCCTTCGAGTGAGAGGTTTTGAAGATTGATTAGATGTGTTTCTAGCTGAAGAAAGTAGACTTTCCTAACTAATCGATGGCAGCATAATTGGGATATAAGTTAACTATTGAGCTACTTTGATGAAGTCCTTCTCTTTAGGTTCCTTATTAATCTACACTCTAGATGATCTCATTCAATAATTAGGAGTGAGAGGATGAATATCTGTGTCTCATTTATAATTTTTATTTAATCTATTTTTCCACTAATCCTTTGGTTAAACTCATATATAAAAATCAATGCTTAATTAATATTCCCAAAAATATGATAATTTTATATCAATCTAGCTTTTGTTATCTAACCTTCTATATCACTATAATCATATTATAAAATGAATCTATATGGTCAAAATAAGAAAAATAATCATAAGGAATATGATAAAAACAGCTAACATCACTTAATAATAACAGAACTGAGAATTTTAAATTCATAAGAAAATCACAAACTTAATTACAAAAATTCACAATAATTAATTGTTGAGATGTTTCATCTTTTTTGTTTCTATAAATTAAATTGATAAATTAGATCTTAATTCAGTATTCAACGAAATATGGTGTTAACTAACAAAATATCAATAGGATTAATTAAATTAAACCATAACTCCGATGAAATTAAACATGAAATTAATATTTTAATAACAATATGGATAATTTATTTAATAGAGAGATGGTTGTTCTTGAGCTGATCTAGAAGCACAATTCTTATTGGAGCCACCTTTGGTGTACACTACGAGATATATAGTGGAAGTCCACCCCTGAAAAGTACCGGAACTTGGTCTTTCACCCTGTGTTGCTCTGTAGCGGTTATAGTTTAGTGCTTAAACCAAATTTAACTTATTTCCTTCAGCAACCCTCAGTCTATACGGTCCGGGAATTGGGATGGGT